ATCTTATATTCTTCATAACATTAAAATTTTTTTAGTACAACATTTTTAACAATAAACTCAATAAAAATATTTATCATTATAACAACATCTTATTTGCTTTTTTCAGGATTAACAGAAAATGACAACACCTATTCGTATACTAAAACCAAATGAAGTGTATGAAACAATACAAGTACGAGTATGCAGAATATGGACAAACAACGATTTTGTCACAGGACGCCTGATAAGCCTTGACTGTATTCTGGTTGATGAAGAGGTACTAAAATTTTAAAATATTATATTACATATTATTTTATATAACATTTGCAAATATTGAATAAATTTCTATTCTTATTATTTATTTACAGCATGAAGCAATACAGGGAACAATTCGAGCACGTGATTCAGACTATATTTCCCAAAAATGCAATATATACAATATTAGTAACTTCTATGTTACTAAAAATAAACTAACATACAAAGTTGTTCCACACAATGCTATGATCCAATTTGCACGAGCAACATTCTTTACTCCAATTATGGAAGACGCACCACACATCCCATTTCACAAATTCTACTTCATAAAATTCGACCAGCTATATCAAAGAATAAATAATACTGAGATATTAACAGGTAATATATCTTACTTAACTTATTTTATTATTATTATAAATATTTCTTGAATATTTATTTACAAAATTTCCCTGTTTATATATAATATTAGATGTTATTGGAGTATTAACAAGTGTCCAAGCACTCGAACATACACATGTCAGCACTAGACCAACAACACAGCGATCCATAACGATACAAAACATCAGGTACAATAATTTTATACTTTTTTTCCTCACATTTACTATTTATTACAACCATTTAACATGAATACAATATTTTTCCACTTTTATGATTCAATTTTATTATTCATTTTTATGAACTACATTTTTTCTACAAAAATAAACAACTACAGGTAAGCCTATGGGGACATAAAGCCGATCAATTTGATGAGAATGTACTTAAAACACTAAAGACACCAGTTGTAGTAGTTTTCTCAGCAATGTTAACGAAGCAGTATTTAGGTATTTTTAACATTACTTTATTATAACATTTTTATATACATATATAAAAAAATATAGCATATATTTATTATTGACTCTATTATATTTCAAGGTAACTCATATGTTTCGAGTACATCAGCAACAATCTTCTATATTGATCCAAATATCCCGGAAACAACAACATTAAAGACAAGGTAAACACACATATATAAAAAAATATATTCTAATAAATTTATCATATTAGATAATCATACATTTTATTTATATTTTCCTTAACTTATTCATATTTTTATACATACAGATTTTCCCATCAAAATCAACAAATTGAATTCCTACCACCGCCAAAAACACCCATCCAAACAATTGAAGAACAAATATCAGCAAACAGAAGAACAATAAACGAACTCAAAACATTGGATGTACAAAATAATCTGGTTAGTACTATTAACTTTCTTATTATTTTTTTACTACACTTTGTAAACAATTTAAAACCACAATATTCTATCTTTTATGCAGGGTGAAAAATTCATTATAAGAGCGACCATAGTAAACTTTTCAACATCTCAAGGATGGTTCTACAATTCTTGTCCCAGATGTTATCGACAATTAAAACAAGCAAAAATAGGTTGGTGGTGCGACAGTCATGGCCACATAAAGTCAACGCCATCTCCATGGTAATTAAATTTATTACCATACCATTTTTATTTATTATATATCTTTATTTACTTTAACGAAAAATTAATAACATTAAAAAAATATTTATATATATTTTACAGGTATAGATTAATAATCCAAATTGAAGATCATACTTGAGACATGAAAGTTATCGCTTTTGGCAGAACTGCTCAGGCATTAATAAAAAAACCATGTTCTGCACTAACAATTGACGAAGGCTTTACCGATCCATTTATAATACCGCCAGCTATCGATCAGATCCGAGGACAATCAAAAATCTTCCAAGTCTTCTTTCAACAACGAGGCACCCAAATGAGCACATTAATTTCTAAAATATTTGAAGACATCCATGTTCCATCATCGCCACCAAAACAGTTAACTGCAGGAACATAAGATCCACAAAGGTAAATAATGTTTTTAAAATTTTTTATCAACTATACATAAATAACATTTATATTATATTAATCACAATTTTAAAAATATTCTCATCTTTCAGCCCACAGGTAATACCATCATCACAGCTATCAACACAGACCACATTTGATCCACACACTCCAACACCAAAAAAACCTGGCACAAGGTAAACCACATTCAACACAACAAATATTATCAATTTATTTAAAAATATATCTACAAATTATTTCATTTTTTCAGTCCTGAATCAAGAACAACAAGACAATCTGCAAAACGACCAAGAACAAGGTAATATAAATATTTTTATAATATTTATTTCATACTATATAATTTAACCATTTTTATTTCTCTTAACACTTATATTTATAAAATGCTCAGGAACCACAATAACGTTATTTTTTATTCGGTACATATAGTATATATATAAATATTATAAATAATAATACTATATATGTCTGTATAAATATGTTTGTACAAATTTTATATTTATCATATAATATAATACTGTATAATACATGTATATATAAATATATTTTAAATACAACTAATTCCGCAGCAACGTGCGGATGTATACATGTATATATAAATATATTTTAAATACAACTAATTCCGCAGCAACGGATGACAAGCTCGTATCAATCTAATTAAACATTTAAAGGTGATGCCAAATTTTGATTTATATTGTCTTCTAAATGAAGCAACAAGAAATATTACACGAATTTCTAGATGCAATATCCAGCAGAGGCTGCAGATTTTACTAGCAAGCCAAAGAGCAGAAACGGAGTTGAGAATGAGGGGTTGTGATCACTGTCTAAAGTATACACGTCGGACGGTGGCCATCTCTTTATCATTGCATCTTGTTGGTCTGGTTTCACTACTCGGTCTTGCAACGTCTTGATGAAGACACGTGGTACCTTGTCCACATCAGGGTCCTCAGTGAACCGGGCCGACATTATTGCTTGGAGGGGCCCTGGCCTCAAAAGCATAGAAGCTAAGGTAGAATCCTGAATATCAAGCCAGGAGGGCAAATATAAAAATATATATATATATATTAATACTTAGACCAACAAATATACCTCTCTCTGTTCAAGCAAATATATATATATATACATACATAAATACATATATATATATACCTCTATTTTGTTGCATAATTTCAATTACTCATTTGTAACTAGTAACTACAGTTCCCATTATAACACATATGATTAATTTCATAAATGCTCTCAAATTATGTATCTTATTTTAAAATGTCTCGTAATATTTTAAAATGGTTCAAAACAACTCACATCTATAACAAATGATTCAAATTGCCTCATCCATCTAATTCCCTCTATAAATTTAACGGAGTTGCTGACGTGACAGTAATATTAAAATATTAAAAAGCTGATTAAATTGAAAAAAATGAATTAATTACTAAAAAAAATTTAAAGAAGTCTAAAAATTTAAAATAAGCTAGTTTCTTTTCTTTTTTTCTTTTATCATTTTATACTAGAATGATTAGATTTAGCTAACTTGCAAATGAAAACAAAAATCTATAGCAAAACCCAATTCATACTAAGCCAACTCGTAAATGGAAACAAAAATCTAAAGCAAAACCTAATTCGTACTCTGTAGTATGCACTTGAACGCGATAAAGAAAAGTCAAGTTCATCCTCCGAAAAATGATCAGAGCAATCCCATTTGAAATTTTTAAAACAAAAACAAAAAATAGATAATATAAAGGAAATCCACAAATTGATTCAAACACCATACTCGTTTATTTCTTCTTTCCAAAAGGATGAGCACGGAAGACTCCCCGGAGCAATCCCACGAAAGACTCACTGGACGTCCCAAATCCGCCCCTTCCTACTCATCGCTGGCGGCACGAACCTTGCCACCACGGGAGAGCCCCTCAATGCTGGCAGCCAAATCCGCCTAGCCCGGGCGGCAATCCTCCGCCGAGCCAATGACAGCCCCCTCTGACCCAAACTGACCGTCGCAGTGAGCCGAGCATCCTTCCTCCTTCGTGAACGCCGACGGCTCTTCCCCTCACGAGAACGGCCCCAGATCGGCGACAAGGAGCTTCGATCCCAACCCAAACTTCCTCCTTTGGCAGCACGACTCCCAGCAGCGAGAAGATCGACCGGTGATGACCTCTTAGACGACGAACGTGGGCAAGCAGGTCGGTGACGCGCCGGCCCGCCGCCCGCAAGCCACTTTCTCTCTCTTCTCTCTTTCTCGTGCTCTCTCTCTTTCTCTATTACTGTTTTCGGGAGTATTTGTTTTTTGTGGTTCATATTTGCTTAATATTTTTTATATTTAATCATTTTACAGATTTAATGAATACTTTAATGGCCTAAATTATTTTATAAACGAATCCACATCAGCAAATTCCGTTAAGTATAGACGGAACTAAACGAGAGTATTTTGAATCATTTTCTATATATTGAGAGAGTGTTTTGAACTATTTTAAAAAATTAAAAAACATTTTAAAACAATGTACGTATTTCGGAAGACATTTATAAAAGTAACCCTAACACATAATGAAGTAGCATAATGTTATAAAGCTAGAGGGTGACTTATTATACAGCTAAATGATACATCATCTTTTTAAAATATCGTTCAATTCAATCTTAATTGTTGGATGATATTAAAAAAAAGAAAAAAAATCGAGAGAGTAAATTTTTTTACCATTTTAAGTGACAACTAGTAAATTTCAATGCATTACAAGAATTGATTTTCCATCATTTAGTAGTTGTGATTTAAATTGTATGATATATCCTAAACTTTTAGAATGTACATGAACTCGAGTCTATCCAACATTATTGTGTCACATTGTCACATTGATGGTAATAGTATACTGCATATTCATGTCTAGAAAAAAAAATAGCAAAGTAAAGGACTGATGCAGATTAAAAGAAATGACAAGTGGGGCTACCATGCACCAAAAAGCCTATACCAAGGCCTCAAAAAAGTCTATGTATAAAGTGATGAAAGAATGGGAGGGATACTCAATTATGCTAGAAATTCGAAAAACTGATCTTCGACACTATTACTAATAAAAGGCGGATCTCATTTATAAGTTTTATATTGCGGAATTCACTTTTTATTAACAAGTGAAACTTAACATCACGGGTGCCTCATGACATTGCTCTAAAAATTTACCTCTTGAGGGCTCATGTGGTATCCGATTTTGCGTTGAAACTCTTTCTTAATAACAGCGCTGGTCGGAGGTTTATCATTTCCAAGTCCAAACCCTAACTCATACACATCACCATATTCGGATAAATCTGGTACGCCCTGTTTCACGGGAAAAAGGAAAAAAAAGAAAGAAAGAAATAAAACAATTGTTTTCATTTCCAAGGATCAAAAAGAAAATTCAGTTATGATTAATGTCGTGTGAGGCAGTTATAACTTATTATAGCCGATAGAGTATAGACCTCATATCAATGATTGAACCTTGAAGGGTAGATTGGAAAAGGCAATAGGAAAAAAGCAACAACAACAAAAAAAAAAAAAAAAAAAGCTTTGCATTTCTTTTTGACGAACCAAGTAAAATATGGGCAATAAGTGCTCATAGTTACTTACTGAGGACTTATTCTTTTGAGCGAAAAATTTAAAAAAATACAACTCGAGTTATAATTTTATTTGAGTTCATATTCTTTTAAGTTTAAACTCGAGTTTAGTACTAAAACTCGAGTTCAAGTTTCCCCTTCAACTCGAGTTCAGAAACTCGAACTCAAATTAATGAACAATATTTTTTCTATTCTTAAAAATGTTATAACTTTTTTGTTTTAATTCTGATTGAGATTATTTTTTTTCTATGCGTTAACAACGAAAAGACGAATAAAACCCGTCTCATATATCCTATTAAAATTTTTTATCAGCATTGAGTTTTTATTAAAATACTATCCAAATACAAATTTAAGTTTTGACTCACTCAAACACAAACTCAAAAAGATTCTTATCTCAAACTATAACTCAAATGTACACAACCAAACACAAACTCAAGTTAAAAGTTAAACTCAAATTATAACTCAAATTCAACTCAAGAATTATACTCAAAGTTAAATTTTAAAAGAACGAGCCTGAGTTATTTCATTGACAAGACAAGGTTGTGAAAATCGGAATTTGTTGGTCATTTGGATAACACAAACATACCGACAAGAGAAGCCCAAAATAATTGAAGAGATGATTGCCTATGAGTTGTTGGGACTAGAAAAGTTACTAATTATTCAGGTAAGTATGTTGGTTTCCTCAGCAGTCATTTCGGTTCAAATGACCAAACTGTCCTTTTTTTATGGAGAAAATTTTGAAGTTAACAGATTATAATCTCTTCTGAACTGTGAGATTTATACAAGACTATGACATTTTTCATTGTTTTTTTTCAATTTTGATTTAATTTTAACTAAATTTAATATTGAGAAACACGCTCTATATATGGTAAGATAAAAAACAAAATAATAAAAACGAAAACCTACTTCATCTTTCAATAATGACCAAAACCCAGATGCCTTCTATGAGTTTCCTGCAGGTATAAACCTACAAACTTGACAAACTCTCAAAGTTCAAAAAAAAAATAAAATAAAATAAAACGACGTTTTCCTATACGACACAACCAAGTGTTGAACTCTGACATCACAAGAGGTGTTCAATTTTCAACTCTTGCCTTACTTTACGCATAAGCAATCAGCCGCAACTGGTAATTAATTTCTGTTTGTTTTTTGATAAACTAAACTAAAGCTGGAGATGATATCACCGAGAGTTCTTAAGTTCCTAATTAAACAACCAATTAACTATCGAAGACAAGAGTAATTAAATTGATCAGTAGAAAATACTTACATCTTTGACATCTTGATCAGTCCAGTACCCTCGTTTCAGCATTGTTGCAGCTATATATACGGCTAAACGAATCTTCTTTGCAAACTTCTGAGTTGCCCAGGTTACACTCATCCCTCCTGCACTATGCCCTACTAAAATCACCTGTAATTCATAAGAACGTGTTTGTTTTTTTTATTAAAAAAAACAATTATATATGTAAGAATAAAACATTAAACATTGTTGTTGTGTGTGTGTGTGTGTGTGTGTGTGTGTGTGTTAATATATATGAATATACCTGTTCATTTTCAGGCAAAGCAGACATGAACTTCATGAGGGGCTCATTGTAGTCGTCGAAAGTGAGGACCGAATCGGCGTCGGATCGGTCGATGCCGGCGGATTTCAGGTCAACACAAGACGCCCTATAGCCGGAATTCTCCATGAGGCACCGGATTTTGTACCAACACCAACTTCCTCCACTTATGCCATGCACCAACACAAAGTGTGGCTTCAATGGTAACTCCACTAGCCCTCCTCCCAATTCCGGCATATTAATTAATTATTTTCACTCTTTTTTCCAACTCAAATTTCTTCTTCTTCTTCCTCTTCTTCTTGTATAATCTCTTTTTTAAGTAGAGCTTTCTCACCACCACCACTTGTCCACCTATATATATATATATATGTATACATGCGTTATATTGGAATTAGTCTTGTGAATCATGATTTTTTTTTTTAATTTCTCTTATACTTTGGCATTATTCAAATATGGTTAGAGAGAGGGGGTAGTTTCTAGATGGGGTCATCCCCATCATAAGCACATTGAAATCCTCCTCCTTAGGCACACTATCAACGAATCATATCGAAGTCTTATAAAGAAATACACGTTCTTATGAAGAAAAGAAATAAATAATCAGTTCCAACCAAAAAAAAAAAAAAAAAAAAGTTATCCTTGGAAATGGAGAATTGTCATTCCATTCAACAGCATAAAACTTGTATACGTTATTTTTTTATCACAAGTAATTGATTTTAAATTGGCTTTGTCGGGTATTTGGCATTTATTTTTTGGCTTCTTCAAAAATCAAATTTTTGTCTGTTTTATTTGTACATTGCAGGCCTAAAATATCCTCCTCTTATTTATTAATTTATCGTGATTTATTGGCCACCAATTTAATCGTCCTTTGTCCCCTTATCCTTTCGATGTTGTCTTGGAGATTATATCTCTTCAGCCCTACTAATATATATAGAAAAATGAAGGAAAGACACGCAAGAGATCATGAAGGAATAACAAGCAATTTTTGTTTCTTTTTTTTTTTTAAAGAAAAATGCAAAGTTATATTTAGCCCAAAATGCATACTAAAGATGACTAATTTGTGAGCTAGCAAGCAGTATTTCACTTTCCATAAATGAGTGCTTGAGGTTTTTCAGGGTTAATATTCTCAAAACTGTAATGGTCTCTATAATGTTTTCTAACACAATTAATTCAACTTTTTTAACATTAGTCAATCTTCAACATGCTTATTATGGTGAAGGATATTAACTATACCTTTCGTAAGATGTATTACTAATAACTTCATTCAAGTGCCAATGTACTTTTTTGTTTTACCCAATATTAAGATTAACGTTTTCTCCCATTATTTAATCCCTTGTTCTTTAAAAAAAAAAAAAGGATTTATTAAAAAAGTTCTTGCAACTAGAATTTGGGAGCCAACCTGTTAAGCCCCCAATGAAATTGGCCCTTTGCTGCACAAAACTGCAACTTCAGGGATGGAATATCAGCATATAAGTCTAAGAGGGTGGACCCTGATTGAAAAATGACACATAAGTAGCGGAGTTAAAGGAATATAAAGGGAAAAAAAATAGGGTTATTGTACCATAAGATGTGTATATTTTCAACCGTTAAATTTTATCAAAATCACATCAAAATATGCAAAATAAAGTAACAAACAGTTTGTAATACAGATTTTACAATTGAAAAATAGAGACCTACTTATAGTTCATTTTTTCATGTCCTATCGTATAAATTTTTAAAAATAATATTGAAAAAAAAAAAATTTCCCTTCAAGGGAAAAAAGGGACAGAGAGCAGCTGGTAACGTTATAGCATGTGTAAAGGCCAGATGCAACCACCAACTAATTCGATCAATTTCTACTTTATCTTAATATATCAATCACCTACCCATGGTACCAAGCTAATACTAACAAACTAAATAGTAAATGCACTTACTAAGTGAGACTAATTGTAACTAAGAATCTATTTATGCTTCATAAAAGATCCCTCAAGAGAAGGGAAAAAATTCTTGCAACTTGAGAGGTATTTGGTAGAAAAAATAAAAAGAAAAGGTCAGGTGTAGCTTTCTGACGTGAAAGAGTTGACAAATTCCACTAACCCAAAAAAAAAAAAAAAAAAAAAAAAAAAAAAAAGTCATCATCAATTCTATTGGTTAAATTGCTTCTAAATTCGGAACTATTTCTTTGTTTTAATTTTTCTTGCGTTGAAATAACGAGGCTGCAACGTGATATATGCAAATTAAGTCTATTTTGAAATAGAAATTGGAAGTATGTTTGTGTTTGGAAATAGTTCCGTATTGGAAACATCTAACCTTATGAACGGTCTAGAAACTGGCAAGCACTTATTGCCAATGGGGCATATATAATTTTCCACTTATAACGGTTGGTTGCAAATTAAAAACTTTATATATGTTTGAATTAATAGGGGAATAAATTAGTCAATTAATCAGTAATTTATGTCTCCTTTAATTTTGTCAATAAGAATCGAGGATCACGCGGTAATTTCATTTATATCAACATATATTATTACTGAGAAAAAAGGGCGATCTCTTTGTTTGAAAAGTACTAGTACTCATCATTGCTCATTAGCTCTTCACTACTTTACAGTAATTATAAAATAAATTTTATATTATATTACAAAAACCATAAGATCAGCGGAAACTAGCTATTGTAATCAATGATCATTGACTGTCAATTGCTAAATACACATTTTTTTAACACGTACTTTGCAACTTTTTATCTTTTCATTTAATTATCTTCTTTTTTCTTCCTTTTGTTAATAAGGTGCTCATATCACGATTAAAATTGTTTATTGGATTATTACAAAGTCAAAACCATTCCGGTTTTTCTAAGATTCGGTGATCAAAAGAAGATTGATCTTCCACCATGTGGATTTTTATTTAGATCTCTCGTTTATTTGTATTACAAAAGGTGCTTCATATTGATATAATACACACATAATGGGGCAAAGTAAATTGCTATATATACACACATATATATATAGGAAAAATGAGGTAAATATCTTAAGAGATTATGGATCTTGATTTTTACTCATTACTTTTAATTAATATTTTTTTAGACAAATAACTATATTAGTCGAAATAGTATTAATCAAGATTATGTGGTAATATACGTTAAGTAATTTTCTTATATATATATATATATTTAAAATAAAAAATAGAGAAAATTACTAAACTTACGTGCACGAGTCTTGATTTTTATTTTATTCTTAATTAATACATTTTTAACTAATATAATTTTTTAATTGAAATGATATTAATAAAAAATAAAAAATAGAAAAATTTAAACTCTTGTAACTCTAAGAAGTACTTGTCTCTTTTTCTCGTATTCCATAACAATGTAGTACTCGTGAGATTGCAGCTGGCCGATGTAAGTCTGATTGTTAATTGGAAAAAGACGATGAACAAAAAGCTGAATGAAGGACTCCAATCACTACAAGTTAACCAAACAGCTAGCAAGGATAATGTTTAAAATGTAGCAATTATATTTAATTTCATTTTTGCTTGTAGCCTCTCGTTGCTTTTTTTTTTTTTTTTTTTTTCTAATGGTATACAAAGATTAGTAAAGTTAGACATTGTGCCTCAATTAAATAATATATATGCAAACCGAATCCTGTTATATAAAGCTGTCATAAGTTAAAAATCAATGTTGACTTATCTCTTATATATAACAAAGTAAAATAATAATTAATTAACAATGATCTTACGTCCTTCTCGAGCAAGTGGAACACACACACATTCACGATCATTGATCAATATCTAGTACATATTAAAGTTGGACATATGAAATCCGCAACTCTTTTCTTTAAAGCTTCAATAGAGATGGTATGTACTTTAGAAAAGGCCAATTAGGAGATAAAAAAACAGTTTTGATAAATATTTCTCCAAGAGAGAACTAAGACTTCATTCAGTTCACAAATTCGAGTTGAGATGTGATTTTATACGAGAGATTTTTACTGTAACAGAAAAAATTATATGCGACTTTTTATGAAAACTTTTAACTGTAATAAAATTAAAATTTAAAACTCAAATTGATAAAATGAACGAGACCTAAGTAAGCAGCTTTTCAATCTTGTTTTTTCCTGAGCTGTAGCTGCAAATGCCCAAAAAAAAAAAAATCTTTATGTCGTTCTTTTTAAGCACACCCAAAAAAAGGGAAGAGACGGAGATGGTCAGTAATCTTTGTGCATGCTAGCTGTGGAAATTAAAGAAAATGCGTGTGTGTGTGTGCCGGGGTCGTGAATGGCATGGAAGATCGTCAAAAGAGATGGAGCGAAAAAAAAAATGTGTAGTGATAGTCAGTGAGTCCACGTTAGGCTGTCTCCAATTGTGAGTGCGTGACAGCGCACTCGCCTTCCCTACTTCTTTTTCTATCCAACGTCGTGGGAAATTATGCAAACACACACATACACAATAGTAATTTATATATATATATATATATATATAGACCTCGTTCACTTTGTGAATTCGAGTTTAAAATTCGAGTTGAGATGTGATTTTATGTGAGAAATTTTTACTGTAGCAAAAAAGTTAGATGTGATTGTTTGTGAGAACTTTTTACTGTAGAAAAACTCGAATTCTAAACTCGAATCAGCGAAGTGAACGAGGCCATAGTGTTACAGTATTTGTGACTCAAGTCACAACTCAAGCCATTTACTTAAGTTATGACTCAAGTTATATTATTACAGTATTTTTTCTCATATAAATTTAAATTAAAAATTTTTATTATATTATTTTTCTCTCACGTATACAATTTAAGTCATTATTTAAGTTGTACAAATGAATACACCCATAAAGATTTAGAACTCTTTTCTTATACAAGGGCAGGACCCTATTATATTCTCAAATCCTCTGCGGAGCATAACCCTGCCAGGAGAAAGAGAAATTAGGGAGAATTTTGAGCGGAAAAGAATATCTTTCCCTTGTTCTACTTTTAGAATGCGCTTAAAATTTGACATTTCACAATCCTATTTTAAGATCCATGTGCAACATTGGGTGTATAATAAAATGAGGGAACACATTTTTAAGTAGAATTGAGTCAAGTTTTTTTCGTTTTATTAATGGACTAAGAGATTTTTAAGTGATAAAAATGATAAGAGATGAGATGACACTCTAATAAATTGGCCTCTTTTCAAGAGCAATATATTTCTATATATATATACACGCATTAAAAAGCAATGTCACAGCCAGTAAGACTTACTAGTTAATGAGGAAGGGTCCTTCTAGCACAACCATAGCTAGTTCAAGTAAAAAATATTATTGAGTGCAATGTACACTTTGACGTTTCTCTATCAAAGACGTTTGAGCGAGTAAAAGGAGAATAGGAGGGCTTACTTGAGGCAAACGGGAGTTCAAGTTCTTGTTCGTAACTCATTTGAGGTTCTTGTCGTGTAAGAGGACACGACATGTTGTGTTTATGTAAGAACTTAACTATCGTCTATATAAATAGACGACATAAGTTTTCAGAAATCTGTTGTCGTCTTCTGAGGAAAAGACAAAATGATTGGTGTATAAGAGTTTAATGTCGTCTCACCAAAAAAAAAAACGGTCGTTTTTAGCTGTATAGTTTGATGTCATTTGCAGGAACAAACAACATATCGTTCTATATTTAGAAGTTTGTCGTTCACAAGTTCTAGATACCAAGTGCACATAAAACGACGTATTGTCTTTCTTCTGTAAGTATAGCTTTGCTGTCGCAAATTTTAAGAAAACGACATAAATTGTTTGACACGACACTTTAAAGTTTTGTTGTCCTAAGGGAAAGACATGCCGGTTGTCTAATAGTGAATTACAACATTAATTAAAGAAAACGATATAATCAACATCGAAACTCATATTTTATTTATTTATTTATGTTTTGCTTTGAAATAACAATGAAACTTTTGAGAATTCACTAACCTTACCTTGCCCATTTTTTAACTCAAAGAACGACGTCACTTGTATTTTAGAAGCTCAATGCTTTTTCATAAACGATATAATGTTTATTCATAAATTTTGAATTTTGATACCGAATCCCCCCCTCCCCTTCCGGTCGTTTAGTTAAAAGAGAATATGCTTCTAGTCGCTTCAATTACTGGATGTTTAATGTCTAATTTGATGTCGTTTATATTAGAAAAGACATGTCGTTTGAAGCCAATTTTTCCGTAGTAAATAAGACTAAACGACATTATATTCCTCTGTCATAATTTGCTATCCCCAAACCACAATTCCAAAAGATCTATATAAATATATATATATATATATATATATTAAGAAAAATCCCGAATAACATGTCTCTTGAAGTTGAACTCAGTTTTTCACTTGTACCTACGACACGACTTTTATTGTCGTTTGATATGGAAACGACATGTTATCAGTCTAGATCAATGCATTATGCACAGACATGTCCACCGGTGAATTATCGCATTGGACAGAGAAGACGTATAAGGCAGCGACAGAAGCTGGTAGGTGTAAATGTAACTTTATGTGGATTTTGTTTGTTTTCTTCGCTCGTCTAGTAATGAAGAAAACGACAGTTTAGCCAGGTAAGGATGACCTTTTATCCTTTAAATTCAAATTTTGTTTAATATTATATTTTGAACCTTTTTTTTAACAGTTTAAGCGTTATTTTTATTTTTTAACAATGTTTAAGTGTTATTTTAAGGTGTGTTCGGTAGTCTCAAAAATTAAAAAAAAAAGTAACTTGAGTTTCAACTTTATTTAAGTACATGTTTTTTTAAGTTTGAACTCGAATTTGAGACTAAAACTTGAGTTCAAGTTTTTCTTTCAACTCGAGTTCAGAAACTTGAACTCAAATTAATGAACAATATTTTTTCTATTATTAAAAGTGCTATAACTTTTTTGTTTTAATCCTGATTGAGATGATTTTTTTTCTATGCGTTGACAATGAAAAGACGAATAAAACCACACTCATATACCCTATTAAAATTTTTTATCACCATTGAGTTTTTATTAAAATATATAAATACAAATTTAAGTTTTGACTCACTCAAACAGAAACTCAAAAAGATTTTTATCTCAAACCATAACTCAAATACACACAAGTAAATACAAACTCAAATTACAACTTTAACTCAAATTATAATTCAAATTTAACTAAAAAACTACACTCAAATCACACTCTAAAAGAAACATACCCTTAAACATTTTTAAGCCTTGATTAACCCCTTAAAATTTTTTAAACTTTAGTTTAAAAAAAAAAAAAAAAAAAAAAAAAAAAAACACGTTTAAGCGTTATTTAATTGATGTCAAAAACAGAAAAAAAAAAAAAAAAATTGTCCTCATTTTTTTATTTTTTGTATTGAAAAGCTTGTGTGATGTTTTCCCGCCACAAACTTTGCTTTGTTCGGCGAGTGGGACCCAGCGGACTATGGCCCGCGGCCCGTGGCGCCCATGTCCACAGGCGTTATTGTTGTGCAGGAAATTTCAAGTTCCGAAAACACCCTTCTAAATAATATCCTGTTCCTAAATTTCACCAATGGAAAATTCTTGGGACTTTTTTTATTTCCTTTTTTTTTAAACAAAACAATTTTAGAAATTTAAGAAGAAAATAATGAACCCCTCACAATAGTCACTAGAAAAATGACGTCATACATGATACACCACATAATTTAAAAAAAAACAAAAACAAAATGAAATTACAAAATAATATAATGATATTTGGCAAATCATAAGCCCCACACTTTTATTCATGATTATATATGGACTCCACCTCACCTGAAGGCTGAAAAGTTTGAAATAAAAAGAAGCGAGGGAAAGATGTGTAGAAAACCCAAAAGGACGAAAAAAATCAAAAATTCGAAAAAAGGAAAGAAAGAAAGGGAGGGGCAAAATCGTCACAAATGTAAAAAATTCAGAAGAGAATAGGCGGGCGGGCGGATGACCCTAGGCCCAAACTTCGGATGCTGCTGCCCCCACTCTCTCTCTCCATTTATCTCTTTCTCTCTCTATTGTCGAAATTTCAAAGCTATTAATCAACAAAATTGAAGGTGTTTTGTTTGAAGCATCTGTTGGCATAAGTCTCAGCCTTTTCTCCTTGTCTTTGAACTAAAACTGCTTTCTGAAGAAGTTGCTTCTTCTTCTTCTCTCAAAGGTTCTCTGAACCAGAACCAGGACCCTTTTCTCTTCCTTACTGAAATCTAGCTCGTTGTTCATCCTTTCTTGGTGGGATTTCAGTCTGACCCAGAAATAATACCATTTAAGGTCTCTCTCTCTATCTCTTTCCATATATATATATATATATATGTATGTATGTATATGTGATGAAATATTACCTTTTGTTTTATCGTTTACTGGGGTTTCGTCTTTTTTTTTTCTGCGGTTGTTTTGTTTCTTTTGTTTCCGGGTTGTTCATATATTAACATATTCGGATGTTAGTCTTTTCTAGGCTATTGAACTTGAATTTACTGTTTACATTTTTTTTTTCTCATTTGATTGTACGCGTGTAGCTTTAGAAAAAGAAGTTTTCTTTTTTCTTTTCCTTTTTTTTTTTTTTAGTGTTTTAAGTGATACAGATATAACTACTTCTTTTATTTTATTTTTTTGCTTTTCATCGGCGGTTTGATGTTTTTCTATGATGAAGACTTTGCACATGTAGTAGGTGTAAGTAATGGAGTACTGAAAAAAAAAGAAAATTGTGTCGGCAAGAATGGCGAAGAAAAGTAGATTTTAAGTGATGGGGTAATGAGTTTTATGACAGACATGTGAAAGGGAAAAGTACATCATGGAGAAGCTTTATTTCAGCCATAAGCATTTATTTATTTCTTGGTTGATAAGGATGCATTAAAACCAAGAGATAAGTGGGTTGAATGGAGATGTTTTCAGTAGACAAATCAAAGAAAAATGCTCTTATTACTTTGCTTTAGTTATTTATAGGATTTTGATTCAGAAGAAGATTTGGCTTTAGATCTGGTTGAGTTTATATATATATATATATATATATATATTTAATCTTGTTTATCTTTCATTGGGCTCTCATTGCTGTGGTTATGTCTATAATTTGTTTGATTAAAAGTTCTAGTTTTTGGAGTAAAATCGAGTTGTAAAGTAGTTTCTTTGTTGGTTTAGTGCAGCAATTGAAGTTATAGCAGGTGGTTGAGATGGAGAACAATGAATCAAACACTCCGAATTCATGTTGCGAGATTAATGCAAATAGTTCCAAATGGCTGGCAGAAAATCTTAAGGGTAAGAAGATATGTAATTATTTTATGGTTTATCCCATTAAGGTTTGTGCCTTAATTCTGAGATTGTTCAATTGGTCTACACCGACGACTTTTTCATTTTATTTTATTTTTTCAAAATGTTTTCTGTTTATCCATTTAGGCATGACAAGTTGATAATGATTGTTGAAAATCGTAGTAACTAGTTCTTGGCTCACAGAGATGGATCACAGTGTAAAGCGGATGCTGAAGCTGATTGAAGAAGATGATTCTTTGTCAATGAGTGGCGAGATCACTAGTCAGAGGAAGTCAGAGTTGGTTGCTAATGTCGAGGAGTTCAACCAACTGTATCGATCACTAGCAGAGCGGTATGATCACGTAACAAAAGAATTGTGTAAGAGTGTATCACAGGGCTCTGGAAATACGGAGTCGGGGTATGACCAGGATGCTGCGCTGCTAACTCCTGATGTCAAGGTTGGTTTGCACAAGTCTGGCCATCAAGCTGCTAGTTTAGATACATCTCCAAGCTCCCCTAGTGCTGACTCTGTTTTTTCTTTAAAGGATGGCAGTGAATCATCTTCCTCATCAACATCTGACTCCGAGTCGGAATCTTTTGTCAATAATTACTTGCGTTCACCTCCAAACATCAACAGCCAGTCCTTGCAAAAGAAGATTACTGAGATGGAAACTGAACTTTCTACCGTGAAAGACAAACTACAAACAAGAGAGGCTGATCTTGAACTTGAGAAAGAACGGGCGTTGGAGCTGGAAAATCAGATAGTTGAGTTGGAGACTCGTGTTTCAGATTCGGATTTAAAGAGTAGGATGTTGGTGGAGAAGTTGGAAGCAGCTGATAAAGAAATTGAGAAGTTGAAGAGTGAACTTATTGATAGAACATCAGAAGGTAATGAGTTACAAATTCGGCTAGAGCTAGCCCGAGAAGATATAGCCAACATTGAAGACCAACTTGATTCAGAGAGAAGGCATGTCTCAGAGCTGGACGAAAGGATTGCAGGGTACATAGCTGATGTCTCTGACCGTGATCTCAAGATCGGGAAATTGAAGGCTACATTGCTTGATGCTGAGGAACAATTTTCTCAGGAGAAAGCACAGCTGCAATCGGATGTTCTAAGCTTGTCAGAAAAACAAGGCCTCTTAGATGTGAAACTTAAAGAATGGGAATTGAAGACCAAGAAGTTGAAAGATAAACTACTTCTGTCTGAGGCTGAGAGAATGGAAATGCAAAGGTTGCATCTAGCACAAGTGATGGCTTTGCAAGATGAGAACAATCAGCTGAAAGTAGAACTCAATCAGCAAAGAGAACGCGTGGAAGTTTTGAATAAAGATTTCGACAGATGCAAACTGAAGTATGACATGCTAATGGCAGAGAAAGATGGCGTAAGTGCCAGAGTTGATACACTTATGGCGAATTTGAGTGATCGGGACAATCAGATTCGAGAAATGGAGAGGCATCTGTGTCAGTTACGTGAAAAGCATGAGGAGCTGATTCATGGATCTCAAAGTGCACAGAAACTTGTTGATGAACTAAAACTGAGAGCGGAGGAACTGCAGAAAGAGGTCGATAGGCAGAGAGTGGAGATCTCTGATGGGGCCGAGGAGAAAAGGGAGGCGATACGACAGCTCTGCTTTTCACTGGAGCATTATAGGAGCGGGTATCAAGAACTTCGTCAAGCATGTCAAGCTTTTATTGGACACAAGAGGAATGTTGTTATGGCTGCTTAATTTTTCTCAGAATGTTGTGGTGTGGTAAGTTTTTGTGACTCATATTTACATGTCTTGTTGTTGTATGTTCTGGTGGAACTTTATAGAATCATATGCCATGCTCAGTTATGTTGGACATTATATATTTGTGCTAAGCAGATACAGCTTTTCTGCTCTGGTGTAGAGCGTGTTAAAAGGCAGGAAGTAATAATTCTATGATACCTCTAGCTAGTGTTTTTGTTAAGAGGGAAAGTAAACAGGAAGAAAGAAATCGTATACTACCAAGGGGGTGAAGTAAATTGTAACGAAAGAAATGACATCTTTCTTCGGTTTAGTTTGTAGGTTTGAACAAAAAATCAAATTTTTGTGAATGAAAACACTGCAGTAAAAAGATTTAAACCTATGAAACAAACAGAGTAATAGATTATCTTATCCGGAAAGATTAGAATTGAAGTCGTGTATAGGATTTTGAATTCTCCACACCCAATCCATTCTCTACTTAGTCACTTGTACCAAGCAACTATTAATCTTAAATTCTATTCACTGATCCTCTCACCTCTATTCCTTCTACGGTTCTACCACTTAAGGCTTGAGATTCCGCTCTTCACAAGATTAGCAAACACGGTACGCTCATGCCTACATGTATGTGTGTATAGAAAATTGTTTCTTAACCCGTGAGGATACAACCCCACCACTCAGATTAGCGTGAAATGATGTAGTCATGTGCATATATATGCAAATTCTTTGCGTATGGTGTGTTTATGAATTATGATCATATGGACTTATTTTTTTTAGGCCTTTTATGTTTTCTTTCCAGTAGGAAAAGTTCAACCCTACTGGAGAAAAAAAAAGGTAAAATTCAAGTCTGTCATTTGGCTTCAATCCCAAGATCTTTGGTGAGTCAACTAGCGAACCATCCATGAACCATTTGGTGTAGTAGCAGCTCTTGGATAGTGTTGTTTGTTGTTGGTATTTGAAAGATTCCTTGATGTTCCTCCTCCACATAAGGCGGCTTCTTTGAAATCTGAATGTCAAACTCATTCTTTACTCAATTGATCTCATTATTTTAAATATGCATAATAAGTAATTCGTCTTAAGAAATGCAAAAGCATGAATGTGGTATGTGTCTATGTGAGAAGTAGAGCTCGTTTCTCTGTTGACACGTCTTGTTTATTCTTAGGAAAATGATTTACGTTATTTTCAAGGTTAATCTCATTTTTGGTGTTCAACTTAGCGATAAATCTCATTTAGTCACTAATAATTAGTTCCGATCTATAAAATTTTCCTCTTGGCTATGTTTGGTAGGAAGGAAAGAAAATAGGATAGAAAAGAAATATGAAAGTGATGAAAAATAGAAATGATGGAAAGGAAATTGATTTTCTTTTATATTGTTTGGTATGAGAAGATGGAAAGAAAATGAGTTTACCTTCACTTGTTTGGTATTGGAAGTTAAATTGGGAGGAAAGGAAAAATCTTATTCGTAAATTACTTTTATACCCTTAAATTTTTTGCTTGGATGTTGATGGAGAAAATGGTAGTTTAGTAACTTTGTTCACTTTAATGAGTAGTCCTCATTTTCTATTTCTGCCCACTTGTGGAAAGAAAAAAATAGTAGGGTCTACATGTATTATTTTTTACTCCATTTTCTCTTCTTTTCTCTTTTCTCTCCTACCAAACAACCTACATTTTCATTTTCCCTCCCAAAATCCCTCCACCTTCTTCCTTCCTTCTACTTTTCTTTCCAACCAAACATACTATTAAAGTGCTCATCGTTGATTCGCTATTAAAAGGTGAATATTGTGTGTTGTTTAATGAAAGGCATTATAGCCATTTTATATACGCATCAAAGAATGGTGTTTGGGAATACAATTGTAGTTCAAACTTTTGGCTATCTTTTTGATGATGAATGTAATTTATTATTATTAGTTAACGGAAAAAATACAATACACATTGTCACGCCCCAAAACAAGAGTTAGTGACGTGAATGCTCGTTTAGAGATTAAATATGATTAAGAAAGTAATTAGACATTTAGAAATATAATAATTAAAATCAAAAGTAAACTATTAACGAAATTTTTAAACAAGTCTCACATTTTACTGAAATTAAATTATAAGGAAGTGATGGGGACTTTCACACTTCCTAATAAAAGAGGTTTGAAAACTAAGTCTCTGGCATCATTTAGGGCTTCACCCACAGGATAATATAATATTGTATATATATGAACATGTAAATAACATTACAGACATCAACTACAGTTTAGAAATTTAAAGTTCAGAGCTTCATAATTTACAATTCTTACATTTGTACACTAGGATAATGAACACAATCCTTACTTAATTGGACGGTAGTAATTAATTCAGCTACTCCGTGCTGCTCCTGGTGTTGTCTGGGGTGGGTTTAACATTTACATAGAACAAAATAGAAGGTTCAGTAAGATATATTTTGAAATAAACTTTATAAACAAGTAAATAAGTGAATAAGCAAGTAAATAAATAACTAAGCAAGTAAATAAAGATATTCAATTTCAACACAACAGTCGGAACCTCACATCCTTTTTCTGAAAGGAGATAAAACTCAAACATTCTATATTACATGTATCAGCAAGTAATTTATCCTCTGATAAATTACTTATACAAGCACAAGCTTTTATCACCACCGTAGTGGCCCGGTCCGGGTTTCGGGTTTTGCTTCTAAAGATACGATCTCCATATCCTGTTTAGGCCATCAGCGAGCTTACTAGTTCGCAAGATCTCTTATCTTAAGAAATCGTTCATTTAAAATTCTGAAAAGTTCATTATAATTTCAATAGCTAAAATTAAGCTATTATGTTAAAAATGATTTTCTTTCGCAAACATGTCATTTCTTTAAAACATTTGCAAGGCCAAAATTCTTCTAAACATGCTATCAAAGAAAGGGATAAGAAATCCTATCTCTTAAGCACCAAACCTGTGGCTAGCTTTGCGTTATTCTGGCTTTCGCTTCCTCAAAGCCTTTAATTTGACTCCTCAGCTAGCATTTGCACAAAACAACACTTTAGGATTCAATTCTCATTCCTAAAGCAAATCAGTTTCAATTGTACACCTCGATTTCCTATTAGTGTGCCTTCATCCAATTCCAAGTTTCATAAATCATTTTATGTTTCAAATCATCATTTCAAGGATTTTAATCTTAAAACATGAATAAAAGATGCTAATTCATCTACTTTAAATGCCCAAATGAAATTAATTTGGGTTCTCTTCGAAAATTGAGGTCAAAACAGGGTTTTCAAAACGACTACCCCTTTTCCTCTGTCAACCGGCCGACCGGTGACAGAGAGGTGCATCACCACCGGTCGGCCGGTGGTGTGCTAATCGGTCAACCACATAGGTCGGCCGGTGGAGATCAGCAGGGTGAGGAAACTCGCCGAATCAGTTCAAAAACCTGCAAATCTGAGTTTAATTCGAGATTTTTCAAAGGAAAATTACCAAATCTAAGTTCCAAATGACAAATCAAGTCTAAAGAACCAAAAATCCCCAATTTCCACCGTAATTGTATCCAAAATCCATAAAAATCCATTTCGAATTAAAAATAGGTTTTCCTAATAGAAAAATTCGAGATTCAAGAGAAGTTTTTCAAAAATTTTACCTAAAAACCTTCTTTTGACATTGAAGATTCTTTTAAATCCTTCTTTGATTCGGAATCCGGATGATTTGGTAACAAATTTGAAGAGGGAGAGAGTGAGAGAGGGGGGGGGGGGGGGGGGGGGGAGTGAGAGAAACGACAATGAAAGAGAGAAAGAGCTGGGAGATGCACAGAAAAGAAAAAGAAAAGAAAGGAAAGAAAAAGAGATGACATCAAAGATATGTAGGAAAACAGACCAGAAAATGTGTTTACACATATTTCTGGGGTAAAAATATGAATATTAAAAATATTTAAATTCTTTTAAAATATTTTAATTTACAGATCATAAACATTTAACAAACATAATTATTTAATTAAATCAGATTAGACACACTAATAAATTTGAATTATCTTAATTAATCCCGTTTAATTTCTCGAGGTGTTACACACATAGATTAATATTAAAAGATTATAATTAGAGTCAAAGTCGCTAACATTATCTCAAATTTACTTATCACATGAGAGTCATGTCATTTTTTTTTCCCTTTTGGGGAAAGGTTTCCGTCCATTAACATATTCTTAATGAAAGGACTAAATTTAATGAGATGCTTTTAGATATGATAAGGTGAAGGATAAGTTGTGGGATGTTTAGCATGTGAGGGACCAAAATGATATTTAGGGGCCATTTAAAAAAAATGATATTTCGGGACCAAAGACCAAAGTAAGTCGGAAAAAGATTTAAAGAAAAAAGGGAATCGAAGAAGATTTGACGTTTGACCGAAGACGGCATAAAAATTATCAAGTGTTTGGCATGATTCCTTCCCATACAAACTCAAGTAAACTTCTTTTCCAGCCCAAAAAAAAAATCAAGTAAACTTCCCGGAAATTGTAGTAAAAAATAAAAATAAAAATTTTAAAATTAAGTAGATTTAGAACCCGTTTAAAAAATATACTCAAACTATAATATTTAATTTTAACATTTAAAATTTAAATTTCTTATTAAAAAATACTGCAATAAAATTAATTATTTAGTGTTCTAAATTCTCACAAAAAAACGTTCTCCCGTCACCTTGATAAAACCTCTGCAACACAAAAAGTGAAGAAGAAGAGAGTTTTTTTATATGACCACAGAAAATAAACTACATGTAATTTTTTAATTCAATTGTCATATTAATATTAACCAAATTTAAAAGTTTTAGATTTTATTAATTAAATTTAATAGTTAAAAACCCGCCTACTAATAAAAGAACTACTGGCTAGAGAAAATCCCAAGAAAAGGAATTGCGTCAGTGCATTGAAAACCAGATCGTCATCCTAAAAAAAAAAAAAACAAAAAAACAAAAAAGATAAAAGATAAATATACGTATAGGTTTCTAATAATTTGAACAGCCAATCAGTGGCGTGTGCTTTATTGTCAGTCACCACTCATCGGTGACCGCCGCATTTGTCTCCCGAGTTGACTGATCTGCCCCTGCACGCCTCCAGACAAAAGAGGCAGGTCCCACGATTACCAACATATCACTAATTGTGTGCCACGTGTCTCTTGACAGCCGGACAGTGGACCCCATTACTTTGGAACATTTCAATGGTTGACTTTGACGTTTTTGCATTTTGCGGTCTTGAGGTTGGGATTAAGAGACATAAATTTTCGATCCAACGAATAACAAGATTTTTGGTTGGAATACCGAAAGCACAGATTATTAATACCGGGACACAAATATTATTGCAATCAAATCAAAATCCAATTCCAAACAAATTTCAAAATAAAACAAAAACAAAAAAATATATTGGTTGACTTAGAAAATTACGGTCTATTAAGAATAATATTACGTATCAATAATACTGAACACTATTTATTAATAAAAAATGAGTATTACAATATAAAATTTACATATGAGACTTACGCTCTATTTATAATGGTACTAATGCTTATAATATGTACAAACAGTTATTAGTAAAATGTGAATCTCATAACATTAAATTCACAAATAGAAATCACCTTTTCATTTTTTTTTGTTTTTTAGAAAAAAAATGTCATTTTATTAACCATAAATCAAATCATGAAGTACAAAACGACTAATAAAAGACGAGATAGAATCAACCCAAAACTTATTAGATTATGTCCAATACAAATACTAATGTCAATTATATATTTAACATTAAAAATTATAATATAATATGCTATTTTTATTTTTACTCTAATGTATAATGTTATTTGAATTGCTAAATATATATTTTTTATATTATTAAACTTTAAAAGTTGTAAAAATAAACTTTTATTTTTAAAATAATTAAAAAATATAAAAGTTACATTAATTACAAAAAAAAGTAATCATTTCAATTAATAGTAATTAAATACTAAATTTTATATAAAAAATTTAACACAATAAATAATTTTATATTAAAAAATAATTTTATATTTAAATATTAAATTTACAATTAACACATAAGCATTACGGGGACGTTTAGTTGGAGGATTTAAACTATAATTTAAATTATAATTCATGATTCGTTATAATATTTTTTTCATAAAAAATATACGTAAATAAAAAATTATTCTAATCACGTGATTTTAATCAATTTTAATCCGAGAATCGAAAATGTTATGTGCAATAAGGACCCCTCAGGTATTTTTTCTAGAAAACATTGAACATTTGACCGCGTAAGATAACACGTCATCAACCGGGCTTTAAATGCATTCAACAGCTTCTCTGTTTCCTCTTTTCTTTTTCGTTTCTGGACCTCTTCCGGTTCTTCCCGTGTATTTCTTATCTTTTTCATTTTCTTTTTTCAATTCAATTTATTTTTGTTTTATTGGTTTCTTTTGGGTCACGACTCCAAAGTGGTCTAGTCAGTAGTCAGTGTAGAAACTAGAAAGAGAAAGAAATATAGGGAGAGAGAGAGAGAGAGAGAGAGAGGAGCTGAGAAATGAATTTCGAATTTTACTTGTTAGTGGTCTGGTCGGAGGAGCTGACCTTTGACCACCACGAACTATGAAAGCTTCTTTAACACGCCACACAACTCGAAGAAGAAGAACAAGAAGAGGAAATTGGTTTTTCTGAGAATTCTCAAGCTTCGCGACAAAGGAAAGAAATTTCATTTGCTCGATCAGATTATGATTGAGTTTGACCACGAAGCTTTCTTCGTAATTTCTCAACCAAGGTTAGTTTTTGTTTTTGTTTTTGTTTTCCCCAGTTTTGCCCCAAACTTCACGTCAATAAGCCTTCACTTAGATTTTTAAGGAGAAACCAGTTCAGTAAAAGCCCTGATCTCTGCGGCATTGTCCTCTCTCTCTCTCTGTTTTTTTTTCTTGGGAAATTTTCTTTGGAATTCAGGTGAGTCGTTTTTGCCCCATGATCTTATTCTGTTTTGCATTCCCGATGATGATTTCCTTTTTTTTGTTTTTCTCTCTTTTTGCCGATTTGATCTGATACCATTTTCGGTTTACAGTTAACTGGTTGTTTTTCGGTGATTTTTGTCTTTTCTTTTTATTTTATTTTTTTCCCAACATTCTCTGACTTGCTACAAATTTTGCTACCCAATTCTTTAATATATCACCAATATTCTCGATAAGATCTTTAGTAACTAATAAAATTAATAACTTTATTCGATTTCTAATTATTAATTTAATGCTGCGTCTTTCTGTTTTTGATTGGTAGCAGAGCACCAACTCCAAATACACCTGGTTTCAATGGGATTTTGTTTTTTTTAAAAAAAAAAAAAACTAATTACACAATCTGCTTGACAAGAGAAATCCATTGCAGAGACTCCTTGAAGGAAATCAAATAGTACAATTGATGGCTAATTAGCCTCTCGAAGGGTCACAACCACACATTTTAGATACAGTCTTATTGGGTTTCCCCCCCTCTTTTTATATCCTCTTAATATCTTAAATCTGGCCTTTGTTTAATTTCTTATGTTTTAGTCTGTAATGAATGCTTATATACATCTTTTTTTCTGTCATAATCAGGGTATATCAATCTCATCAAGTTTTAGTGGAACTGGAAACTCAGTTTGATTGAGCTCATTTATTTGGATGATCATGGCCAGTGAACCCACAACTAAAGTTCGGCTAGTTAGGTGTCCTAAATGTCGGTTGGTTCTTCCTGAGTTGCCTGAATTTAATGTGTACAAGTGCGGTGGATGTAACGCCACTCTCCAAGGTACTAAATCTTTTGATAATTTTGAATGAATACAATTATCATCGTATGATGAGTGCAAAGAGTAGTTACTATTTGGCTTTTTTTTTTCTCAGAGAATTATTAATTCTTCGGTAGCTCAATGCAAAGTGTTAATAGATGACAATGTTTTAAAAATTTTAAGAACGAGAAGTTCCATGCATGGACCTCTTACTTCTTTTTTTTTTTTTTTAATTTCTTTTCTGTTCTTCTCTGCCAAGACGTCAAAATTTTCTTTCTGATATAAGTTCAGTAATCTATTTGGTGGAGCCTCTTATATCTAAAATAATATTTGTAGATTGAATCTACCTAATTCCTCTTAATTTATTTCTTTCTATCATTTTTCTACGTACAGCCAAGAATCGAGTAAATAATGTCCGAAATACAGGATCTGGTTTAAGTGACGTGGATCCTATTCAGGAGAATCTAATGGACGGCGTTCGTGAAGACAAAGAAGAACTCAGTTCAGGTGATAAAGTTGTTCTTAAGGGCTCAGAAGAATACCTGCCGTGTGAAAACAATGAGAGGGATCAAAGTAGATCTGAGGTTTGTGAAGATGAGCAGCTTGGGGGTGCAAATTTATCAAGTAAAAATCAGAACAATGGGAGTCATCGAAGCGATTCTTCAGATTGTGATAACGAAGTCTTTTCGCCAACTGAGTTTGTTGATCATAAGAATGAGGAGTTCGCTCTTAATGAGAATGACAAGCTTGCTAAGGATGGGAACAATAGCTTTGTTAATAATGGCAATGGGGAGTTGGCTCATGATGAGAATGTCGTCTTAGCGGGTAATGAGGAGGAGGAGATTGCTCATAATGAGAGCGAGGAGTTTGCCCATGATGAAACTGAGGAATTTGCTCATGACGGGAATGAGGAATTTGCTCATAATGATAGTGGGGCGTTAGCCCATGATGAAACTGAGGAATTTGCTCATGACGGGAATGAGGAATTTACTCGCAAAGAAAGCGAGGAATTCACTCAGGAAATTTCTCATGATGAAAAGGAGGAATTCACTCAAAGTGAATATGAGGATCCTGCTCGTAATGAGATTGAGACGACGTCTTTAGCGGGAGCGGATTTAGAAGTACCAGTCAATCATGAGAGCTCAGTATTAGCAGAAGAAAATACAATAGATACCAACAAGAAAAGTGCCACTGATTCTGATGATAGAAGCTCTAATGCATTCAAGTCGGTTGCTGCTATGGAAGATGGTTCAAATGCCTCTGCTCATGTGCCTGTGAGGGAAAGTATAGTAGATACTCTTGTATCTTCTAGTGGCGAACAACTTAAGCAACCTCAAAAAGGTGTTCACCAGGGCTATGCCAATTTGAAATCTGAAGAATTCAACTCAAGCTCTGAGCTCAGTGATACTCGTAGAGACATGACCAAATCCCCGACAAGAAGCTCTCGTGCATATGATGGCAGTATCTCGTCTTACGATGCACTGGATGATCAATTCCCTATGGGCCGTTTGCATTCTCTTGAAGACACTTCTTACAAGGCTGCAAATTTTCTTCATTCTAAAGAACGACCTAGGAGAGACAAATTTATGGTGCCGACCATGATAAACAGAGAGTCTGAGATGCAACATCAGGCACGCCCTTCCTTGTCAGATAAGAAGACTCGTGCCGTGAAAAACGGCAAGTGGGATCGCGGTGAATTTCTAGAACCTGCCAGGCACGACCGAACTGTTCGAAATTGGAGATTGGAGAGACATGAACATCAACCTAGTTCGGCTTTCCATCGATCAATTTCCCGAGATGACTGCGAAAATGGAGGTCCTTCCAATCGATTGCATAACGAGTTCCACCGCCGTTCAAGTTTTCAATCACATGACTTGCCTGAAGACCATGGGCAGGTGATGAAACTGCTTAGAATGGTGTTTGAAGTGAAGAATCAACTTGATAAATCCCACTCTCTGTATGATAAGGGAAATGATGGGATTGAAGGATTCTCTAGAAAGGAAAGATATAACCCCAGATACCATAACTACGAGGCATCGTCAGAGGAACGTTTTCATCATCCAGACTATGCCAGGTATTATGGAAGATTCGGGTCTGGAATTAACTACTCCAATCGGAGTAGGTTGAAGAAGATGCCCTTTTCAGGTGACGCAACTGGCAGATGTCACCAAGTTGATCCCTCCTGTTCACATTGCTTTCCACAAGATTGGCCACGCTCGGCACAATTGCCTCCATCCTCGCATTACAATACTAGTGGACTGTGGAGGGCCCATCCTGGTCACAACTACAGCACAAGCTATAGCTCTTGTCCCTCAAGCCCTCTATGGAGTGTGGACTCCGAATATCCCCCATGGGGACGTGAAACACAATCTGATGATCTGCGGCGCAGAACTCACGACATGACAAATTACTTGAGAGACAACGACCGCCTGGCCAAGCGCCATTTCCGGCCTATTGCAGGTGGAGCCCCTTTCATAGTTTGTTACAAATGCTTCAAACTTTTGCAGCTGCCCGCTGATTTTCTCCTCTTCAAAAGAAAATGTCATCGGTTGAGGTGCGGTGCTTGCTCGGAGGTACTTAAGTTTTCACTTCAAAACGGATCTCATATTGCTCCGTTCACAGAGAAATCTGTAGACACTCCTCCACCAAGTGAAGCTGAGGACAACGGTGATGAGATTGAGAGGAGAAACATGGCTTCAACATCTCAAGCTTTAGACGGAGATCCCGTGTCATGTAATGATGATTATGCGCCCTCTTACCGCAAAAGCTGCTCAATTGAAGCAGATCCTATTTCCACCACACCCTTTCACACTCCACTTGGAAGAAGATTTGACAAAAGAATTTTATATGGTTCTTCTGATTTCTCTGGAGACAGCAAAGAGTTGGCTCCTGAACAGTCTCCAGGAAAATACAAGAACCGCGTACCGATGTATGAATCTGCCGGGCCTCCCTCAAACACATACAAGTCAGAAAAATCTTCCTCAGAAATTGGGAGGCTGCCTCCAAGATCAACTTCACCACTTCATAGACTCATGGGATATTCTTCACCTAGTCAGGTAATATTTGGAACTGACCATCTGGCCAAGGGACAAGTTCGTACTCTATAAGGAAAAGTGAGTCTAGGCACTGAAAGCTATTTCTGAGAATATGGCAGCTATCGACCATCTCATACGAGGAATTCGAGAAGTGGCAAAAAGGGATCAAACCTTTGAGGAGTTGGAATTCAATAAAAAAAAAAAAAAAAGAAAGAACTTTGGTTTGTCTTACCGGCTACATTTTGGTGGCTTGATGCAGCCAAGGTTCTTATTTTTTTCCACTTTTTATTTGTGTGCTGCCTTGGTCATTTAAGACAATACTGATAATTATTCCCTACAAAGAATGTTAGATATAAAAAAAAAAAAAAGAGTGAGAGTGTTTCATTTTTGCATGTACATATATATGTTCGCAAGAGGAATTTTATTTATTTATTTATTTGCATACTATATGCACCATACATCCTGTACATGACCAACTTTCTTTTATTTTATTTAAAAAAAAAATAAAGTTCATGAATTGATAGATTTTTTTTTTTATACAGTCCATTTGAAAAAGGAAAAAAAAAAATTAAACGCACACCAAAGGAAGGAACTTGGCAGTTGACAGTATTCGGCCATCAAGAAGACGGGACCATTAAAGTTCCAATTCCTTTAACCAACAAATTTTTTCATATGTAATATTGCCATCATTCTTTTATCATTTTTGTTGCTCTGATTTTATAAATCGTTATTATAGGGTGTTATTTTTCAATCTTGGATTCTTTATATAGTCGGAAATAAGCTTTCCCTGTAAGATTATTTATTTGCTATTTTAAAACCGAAGGTCCAAGCTTATCAATATCATCACAGCATGAATAGCAAACTATGAGATCAATGTGACCCACATAGTTGCCACATTTGCCATGGTGAAAAAGCACCTTTCTGAGATGCTATCTCAGATCCAGGATATCATGCATCTGAATGCTAGGATTATAAAAAGGAAAAAGGAACTTGGTGGTTTTAGCAAAAAGAAAAAGGAAAAAAAAAAAAAAAAAAAGAAAAAGTAGTTAATTCTCAAATATAACCTACAATGGAAGTATCACATCAATGGGATAAGAGAAAAGTAAATCCAACTTTACACCTCAAGCCACAATGTCTATTCGCCTAAAGCATGTGGCATACATGGTTTTCCTGTTGTATTTATGTTCCTATTTTATGTTTTCTCTAACTTTTAAGTACTTTAATTTGTATTTACAAACGTAGCATGAGCCTGTAACAATATAAATATGTATTTATATGCATATTGCAACCTTTTATCTGAAGTTGTCCCTAGAGTTGCTTCTTCGATTTGAAGCAATGGATACCCTTTGGTCCTGAAGCATGTTTAAATTTGGTGCCAACAGCCGGGTGTACCGATCAAAGTACAGCAACTGTTTCATGAGAAGTGCAAACTCCCTAGGAAATTTCAGCCCATATGATTCACTAACCCGAACCTGTAAACACATACGAACATCATGTAGGTTATCACAAGATTCAAAACGAACCACATCCTTGCATAGATCCAAAAACCATATCGCGGAAATTGGGATTCAACTCAAATATATTTAGAATGGACGCCATCTCTACTTCCTTGAGAGCAGTATTTGATCCACCATAGAAGCTCAATATAGGCAGGGGCGAAGCCATATTCGGCTAGCTGCCCCCCACTGGCCAATTGGCTCCTTAATATTATAACCCCCAAAATAACTTTTTTTTACAATTTTCTTCCTACTTTACCCTTACTGAGATTATTAATTTACAACATTTACACTTAAGTTTTTGGAAAATTTTCAATTATACCACTAAAATTTAACTTTTGAATTTTAATATTCATATATTTCGAATTAGATATACCAACTAAACAAAAAATCAGCCATAATATATATGAATTCATAATTTTTTGAATCATATTGAATTCAACTTAATTAAAATAATCATAATGTCGTTTTAGTTGAAAGTTTTAGTTTTAATTCACGCCCCCACTGAACAAATTTTCTGGCTCCGCCACTGAATATAGGATTTTGGTTTAGACTAGATATACTAATTCGGGTGCTGCTAAAATAAAGTAATGAGCAGCTCCCCTGGTTGAAGAATTTAGAGAAGAACGGCTCACCACATCGAGGAACAGTGCGTTCATCTGCCTCTCATCAACAATTACATTTGCAGAGACGGCAGTTGCAGTGGTATTAGTTCCCCTGGCTGTTGCTATAACTACTTCTGTATCCAAGTCCTGCATAAGAGATAAAAAAAAATTAGAAGGATTCAGCTTGTATGGCATAATAATATGCCAGTGATTTTTTTTTTTTTCTTTTTAAAAATGTGCCAGTGAATTTAACGACTAATCTTTGTAGAAATATGTAGGTGATGATGCTTGCCTTAATTGATGAGAATATCTTTTCCAAGTCTCTTGCAAAGGCCTTGGAATCAACATTTGTGTTTGTTGCCCCCATTTCAATCAATGCGGAAGCCATTGCTTCATATTCTTCTGTCGCAATTGATTCCAAAAATACTTCCATTGCAGCCCATGTTTTTGGCGATATTCGTCCAACAATTCCTGTGAAGAGAATATCAGTTTGAGTCACAAAGGCAGAAAAATAGAACTGTTCATCAGGCAACTTTACTTTTAATTTGCGGCACTAGTAACAATTTCATGCAAATGACAAGCTCTAAACTGATGTAAGGCACATTTGCTTCCAAAAAATCATACAGGGATTGAGCCAAAAACAAAAGAAATAACAAAAGAAAGATCACGCAAAGACTAAAAGTACCTAAATCAGAAAAATAAATAAATAAATAAATAATTATACAAAATTGTGGGGGAGAATAATGTACCAAAATCAAGAAACCCAATGCGGCCATCACGTAATAACCACAAATTGCCAGCGTGCACATCTGCATGAAAGGTTTCACATGCAAGCAAACTGCCAAACCTGCAGAGTATCGCATACCAAGAAAGTTCAAAAACATCACAACGACCAAAAAGAATAAAAGCCATGAATTAGGGAAATACACCATCTCCTACCAAACGTTAAGGGCAGTTATGAGACTGGTCTCCGGACTAGAAACAAGAGAACTTATGGTGTCTAGGTCAGTAAGAGGAACTCCATAAAGCCTCTGCATAGTCAAGACACGCTTAGTGCTGCATTGATAATACACTTTCGGAGCTGTAGCCTGCTGTGTCAGTCCCACGGCTTCTAAATATCTCCTAAAGGACTCTATGTTTGCAGCCTCCTTTTGAAAGTCAACCTCTTCAAGCATGGACTCCCGTATGTCTTTCACAATACCAACCTACTGAAAGGATGTGCACATTAAAATGGAAACTTCTATTTAAGAAATAAGCATTGTTGTTCAGAGAAAATTATGTCCGCATTATACCAGTGATGCACGGCTTAATTCAGGATTCAAAAACTCCAAAAGGCGCGCGACAACGTAAACAAAGTTCAGGTCTGCAACCAGTATATCTTCTATTCCAGGTTTCAAGACCTTAATGACCACATCCTCCTGGGAGCCTCTAAGCCTTGCACCATGAACCTAATTAAAGTATGACGACTTTTATCAGTGTTCGGTGGACATAATCTAGGGGAAAAAAATGGAAATGAAAAGTATAAACCTGGGCTATTGAGGCTGAAGCAATTGGAGTTGGGTCAACGTATTCATAAACACTTTCTATTGGTCTACCCAATTCCTCACGCAAGATCGTTTTGATCTCATCAAAGGGAACCACAGGAGCTCTATCAAAACAGTTCTGGAATTCCTGAACATATTCTGGAGGGAATAATGTGGGTGCAGATGCAATGAACTGCAAAACACAAGCAAGTCTATCATTAGAGACTGTACACTACATGATGAAGAAATTTGAACATATCAGAGGGCCGATAGAGATAGAAAACGTAAAAGGGTAACAAATAATTGTAGTAATAACGATAATGGTGACAGTAGAATATTGTTTTACCTGACCTAACTTTATATAGGTTGCGCCCATGCGTTCAAATAATCTCCTCAAATAGAAGGGTGAAAGCAATCCAAGCTGAAGTTGAATTGGCAATTCAGCAGTCGAATTTGTTGACTACAAAAAGGGGGAAAAAATAACATGTTGTGAGTAGTACAAAGTACTTGAGGCCAAATACGCTAATATACCCAGTGCATGCATATTAAGACTATTCATTGCCTGCATGTTGGTTTCTTTTTTGGGGGGCTTGAGACATACACAAAGAGAATATGCAGGCAGTCCCTGTGTCAGGGAATGGAAATAAAACTACTAAACTTTGGGTCCACAAGGAGTAATGATTGAACCAACAAAGGCATAAAACATGGCTTCTCTTGGGAAACCGCTGAAACTATTTCCCATTCAAAGCAGGAAAATGAAACACCGGGATGCCCAAGAAAAGGATTCACCACTTGCCATTGGATAAGTGATTTTACTATTTGGAGTCTTGTCCAAAAAGATTCTCTTTTTCCCTACTGAAAAAAAGGGATTAGTGTTCTCACACACCCACCCAACAACACTTTCAGAACCTACTAGGATTACAAGTAGAACGGAAAGAGGACCAATCCACGCTCTAATCAACGATCCCCAAGTTCACACACGTCAAAAAACACAACCTCACTATTTCATAGGACAAAATGCGGATACAAAAGGACCAAACCTATGACGGATTGGAGAAAGAATCACAGCGCAATCGTCCCTTGCTGCTACGCCAGCACCAACACTGGTGTCTTGATACAAAGAGCTTGATAGTTGATACCAACGTCAGACATTTTATATGAAGTGCGGTGGAAATATAATAAAATGAAACAATTTTGGTACCCTTGTATCACAACAAAAGCCTTGGTCTTTCCCAACTTCTCTATAACCATTTTCAGAAAAACAAACGTTCATAAGATAGATTTGTATATAAATGAATCCAGATCCTTTGTCTAGTGTCCTCGTGTCTAACCAATCAAATCATACCAGCACAAAAGAGTTGGTTGAAAAACAGTTCAAATTTGTTATATGATGTGTTAGACTAAAATTAAACAGAGGATTCTATAAACAAACAGACACTAAGTCCTGGCCTTACCACAATAGAATTCAAAATTCCTATTACCTTGGACATGTCTGAAAGCCACTCCCCGCCAACTCCAATAACCGCCTGAATTCCTTGTGCCATCCTCAGGGCACCACGTGGGCCCGTGTTTATTGATGTCTGGACAATATCTTCAACCAGTTTCGGCAAGTTCTCTACACTATCTGAAAAATTGGAAAAAAAAAATCAAAACCCAATTACGAGCTTAAATTTAAACCAGAATACCACCTAGTACTACTTCTAAATGAGAACAGATATATTTAAAAAAAAAAAAAAAAAAAAAAAAAAAACCAAAAACAAGTTTGAAATAATTTGAGAATGGAGAATTTCACCTTGGAGGCGAGAGGAGAAAAGATCCTGAGATTGTGACTGTGAGTAGCGAGCGAAAAGAGCGAAGCGCTTTGAGTTGGGGCGAAAGCTGAGGTGTCTCCTTGATCTTAACGAACCCCAACTGCCCATTGTCGATGATGACGATGATATTTGACGATGACGTTGGAATAACGGCCAACGACCGCCTCTCACCGCTGAAACTACCGCCATCTCCGACCAAAACAAAACAAAACAAAACAAAAAATGAAGAAATCTTTGGAAATGGGTTTCGGAGCTTAGAGATATATGGAAGATGATGGGCTCCAACGACGGCGTTTTCGTCGCCAAATTTGCTGTGAGTGTTCTTGTTCCTCTTGTCCTGTCAGGGTTGTTTCCGTTTTGCCTCTCCTGGCGAAGAAATATCAGTAATCATTTCTTTTTAAAGTTTTTTTAATCTGTAATTATTAAAATATTTTGGTACTTGTTTTTGTTTTTTTATTTTTCTGATTTTTGATTCCCACAAGACAGCACGGAAAGTTTTCGTGAAAGAGATGACGCCACGTAGCACATCTGCTCAATCCTGGTGCCACCAGTTTAATGGACGTAATTAGATGTCGCATTTCTTTCGTAGATAAACCAAAACGACGTATCGTTTTTTGGTTATGTTTAAAGAAGGATTTCAGCACAAATGGCTTATAAATGGCCGAAGTTTTGTAAAAGTGCCAAGTTAACTATTTTTATTAATTTAGCGGTGATTGATTAACTTAGCAGTTTTATCAATAATTAATTTTAATTTATCCTCACTCAATAATTCTTTATTATTAATTAATATTAGTTTAATAATTAACTAAAATTAATTAATAATTAATCAATTTTAATCAATAAATTATAGGTTTATTAATAATATACCATTGACATATTAATAATTAATTGGTTAATCACTGATTGACCGTGGGTCAATCCCTAGTTAACTGTTGTCAATAACTGATTGATTCTGAATCAATCATGATTGACTCTTATAAACTAAACGATCATTTTAAAATAAAAAAAGTAAAGTTCAGTCATTTATGAAAAGAGATAGTACAAAAAAAGAGTATTTAGTTAAAGGGAGAATTTAAGGTAGAGTAAGCTATTTTACTCCACGGGTAGGGATTTTATTTTTATCTTTAGATTAATTTTTTAACAGTCATATCTATAATAAGAGTAATTTTATGTGGTGTACTCTAAATTTTTAATACAGACTTACACTAATTTAATTGTTAAAAAATTAATTTAATAGTTAAAATAACTATCCCTTTTAATGGAGCAAAATAGCTTCCTTCATCGTAAAGATTCCCCAAACTAATTTTTCCTAAATTTTATCTCCTTTTCTCATGAAAACAAACGACAACTTGTTTTATACATGTAAAAGGGGAAGGTGTTTTCTTTTTCCGTTTTTCTTACACGATATATATCGGGTCCGTTTAATTCGTTGATTTGAGTTTTTAATTCGAGTTGAGATGTGATTTTATGTGAAAATTTTTTACTGTAGCAAAAAAGTTAGATGTGATTATTTATGAGAGTTTTTTACTATAGTAAAATTCAAATCAGTAAAATAAACGGGCTATCATTTTTTTCGCCTACGTAAACAACAAATTGTTTTTCAGTTACTATGAACGACATATATTTGTTTTTCGGAATACAGGCGAGTAGGACATATCATCGTTTGTAAACTTTATCTTGGAATTCCTTTGCTATTTATTTGAAACGATATTTTAGCACTTGTCATTCTCATGCCTTCCTAACGAAAATGTCGTGTTTTAACTGCCAAAAAAAAAAATGGTCTACATATTAACTCATTCTAAATATTCTAAAAGAGAGTGTGGAGAATTACTGTTGACTGTACAGTATTATAAACAATGAAGTTCTGTTTTTAACCTCATAAATATATACTTACAATTTTGCCTTTCAATGTTTGTTTTAACACACGTTTATCACTGGCATTTACGTCTATTTGTAGCGGAATTTTTTTCTACTCTTCCTTTCCATGAAGCTTCTGGACTTAATCATTTCTGTGCATTTTTTTCCTTCTCTCTCTCTTCTTTTCCTTGAGGTTTATGGGTTTCATTTTTTATGTCCTTTTTTTTTTTCTCCTTCTTCTCTCTGCAGATCTTTTGCTTCCATTTTCTTTTGCTCATGGGTTATTTTGTTTCTTAAGAAATTTTCTTCTTCCTTTTTTGGCTCTTAGGCGAATGATTTTTCGACTTTATTTATTTTTTTTACTAAGTCTTTTTTTTGTTTCCCTTTTTTTTATGTTTGTTTCGGTGCTTATATTTTGTCCTCTGGATTTTCCATGTATGTTTACCATGCATGTTCTTCATTGGTATTTATGTTTATTTGTAGCGAAAAATCTTCGTTTTAAACAAAACATATTCCTTTACAGATCCGGTTAGATCCATAGCCTAAAGTTTTTTTTTCCCCTCTTCCATTCTTTACCGATTTGGTCTTTATTTTCTTTTATGATGATATTGTTTTTTTCTTACATATTTTTCATAATATTTTCAACTTTATTCAAGTTCACGTTCTTTTAAGTTTTAACTTTATTCAATTTTACTCAACTTTATTCAAGTTTTAACTTCAACTCAAGTTATAACTCAAATTCAACTTAAAAACTACACTCAAGTTATACTCCAAAAGAACAACCTCTTAGTTTTTTCTTTTTTGACTTCATTTTTTCAAAAATAATACGTTTTTAAAATTTTTAAAATTTTCTTTTAATTTTTTTTAAGAATATTTGTTCTTATGATTTTGGTTTTTTTTTTCCTTTGGAGTATTTTATTTTAAGAGGTTTTTTTAGGGTATTTTTTTAAATCTGTTATTTAAAATTTTTGTTCATATATTTTTTGGTTTTCTTTTTATGGAATTTTTTTTTAGAGGCTTTTTTTTCTTTGGGTTTTTTTTTTAAGAATTTTTGGCCTAAATTTTTTTTTTTTTTTTTTTTTTACTTTCTTTAAAATTTTTCCCTCATTATTTTTTTTTGGATTTATAACTTTTTTTTTGGTTGAATATGTTATTTTGAATTTTCTTATATATTAATAGCCTTGATTTATACTATTTTAGTATATGTATTAGGCTTATAAATTTACAGGTATATTTCATTTCCTCCCTTTTTATATAATAGATATACATTAGCTTACTGTCAGTAGTTTATTAGTTTTGTTTTGCGGTGAGATTTATGCTTTATGACATCTGTCGTAATAGATTCATTATTCTAATTGATTTTATTTTGCATCAATTTATATCGAAGATTGAACGAAATTTGTTAGTATTATTATATTTTCACGCGTATATATCATTATTTTTAGTTTGTTTAATTCAAATATGATTTTTTACTGTTCGTTCTTTATTGGTTCTATTATGCGGTGCACTCCATGCTTCATGACACATGTCATGCTATAATCATCACCTTCATTGATATTTATTTGAACGGTTTTATGGCGGTTTTCCATGAAGATTTTAATCACTCTGTCGATATTTATTGGTCTTTATTTTATAACCATCCTTCATATATTACTTTTTATCCTTCTTACCGTTATATGTATTTTTACAGTTTCAAAAAGTTAGTGGTGTTAGAGTTTTCTTACTATTTCTACTGCGTTTTGGATATTCTGTTACTATCTTTCCCTTCCTGAGTTTTTAACGTTAGGTTTTTTGTCCACCTTCCTTTCATCTGCAATACTTAGGGCTTATTCTTTTGATATTTTTGAGTTAGGTAATTTGAGTGTAGATTTTGAGTTGAGTTTGAGTTATAACTTGAGTTGAAATTGTAACTTGAGTTTGTGTTTGGTTGTGTACATTTGAGTTATGGTTTGAGATAAAAATCTTTTTTGAGTTTGTGTTTGAGTAAGTCAAAACTTGAATTTATTTTTAGATAGTATTTTAATAAAAACTCAATGCTAATGAAAAATTTTAATAGGGTATATGGGTCTAGTTTTATTCGTCTTTTCGTTGTCAACGCATAAAAAAAAATAATCTCAATCAGAATTAAAATGAAAAAGTTATAGCATTTTTAATAATAGAAAAAATAATGTTCATTAACTTGAGTTCGAATTATCAAACTCGAGTTGAAGGGGAAACTTGAACTCGAGTTTTAGTTCTAAACTCGAGTTCAAACTCAAGTTCAAACTTAAAAGAACGTGAACTCGAATAAAATTATAACTCGAGTTACATTTTTTTGAGTTTTTAACTAAAAAATCACCTTGCCGAACAAGGCCTTAGTCTTCTATTTCATCTGTTCCGTTCAATATCCTTCTTTCAGTAATATATTTGTACTATTTATGTGTGCTTCCTAGCTGTTTTAAATAAGTGCTTTATAATGTTATAATCATTTGTTACATGATTTTATTTGCTTATTTGTTTATATACTTATGTTTAAATTTTTTTATGATCTTTTTTTTATATGCTTTGTCGATTTTCTCTTTCTGCTGTCGCTTACTGTTTATATTATTTTTAAAATTGTTATTTAGCTATATGTTATGTCTATATATATTTTGTAATTCTTTTTCCTTCTTTTTGCTATGTTAATAGTCTACCTTTTTTAAACCATTTACTGTTATTTAGTTATGAAGATGTATTTATCTCCTACTATAAGCATATATTGTGTCACTGTTAATAGATACTTACATGTTCTTGATGCTGCCCGGGTTAAATTGGTTTATGCCTTTACCCATTACTATTTCTATTTGTTAAGTTTTAGTGTTATTTTATATTGAATTTGTACTTTAGTTGCCTTACGATCAATGTTTTCGTAACACTTTTTACTCATTTTCATATATCATTATTCAAAATTTGTGTTGTGTTTTATATTGAATGATCTGCATCCATTAGTAGTTCAAATTCATGAATCTGTTAAAACGTTTTTACTTATATATTTATTTTTGTATGTGTCTGCTTTGTAATTTATGTGTAAGTGAAATATAGAAACAATATTTTTCTCTTTTGATGTTCGACATAAATCCTGTAATAACTTAAATGGCAGCCAAGTACATTGCTCGGCTCTATTTTTGTTACACTTGATACATATAGGTAAGATTATGAGATAAATACTTGAACCAAATAAATAATGAGTATTTACTTCCTTTGTTTATGTTCTGTTGATACTAAAATTGACAGCTGAGCCATATTTTTGTTATATATATGTGAGTATAAATAAATTAGCATTTATTAACTTAAGTATATTATAAATACTATTTGGATTTCCTTTTTTTTAATAGCATATTTATCTTGATAAATATTTATTATATTATAATGTCCCCTGTTCTATTTTGCTTATTTGAGGCACATTGGGTGCTAGACATTCAAAATCATATTACACATATTCTAAAAGAGAGTCTCAAATATTACTGTTCACTGTACAGTGTTATATATGTATGTATACGTATAGTTTTTCACTTCTTAAAAACATAGCTTTTTTAAACCTTTTACTTTTTCTTGGTGGTGATAATGTATTTTTCTTCTACTGTACGCATATATCATGTAATTGTTTATAGAGACTTGGCACTTCTTGATGTTGCCCGAGTTATTTTGGTTATGTCTTTATCTACTACTTTTTTTTTTATCAGTTAGCTATTACTTTTTTTTTTGTAATCATTTTGTAACTTTTTCACTTTCAAGTCAATGTTGTTTTAACATTTTTCACACATTTTCGGACATTATTTTCTATCATTTGCTATGTTTTTTATATTTAATAACTTTCATCCTTTAGTACTTTAGATTCATGTTTCTGTCCTTATATTTTAACTTACTTATTTTTTCTTAAATGTCACTAATTTGTACTCTTTCTGTAAGATTAGATTTTAAATGATAATCTATTTTTTGATGTTCGGTATAAAGCCTATAATTACTTAGATGGTAGCCAAGTACATTGGTAGGTCCTATTTTCAGTATATATCATATATACAGCTAAGATTAAGAGATAAATAACAGAACTAATTATTTAATTTATAATTTTTTCTTTGTTTATCTTATGTTGACAGAAAAACTCAATGTTCAATCGTATATTTGTTATATATGTGTTAGTTTAACTATATTTGTTTTCATACTTACCGAATTGAAAGAAATGACAGCATTATTTCTTTTATAGATTGATGGAATTCTTTCTTTATCTTTTGTTGACATAAAAACTCAATGTTCAATTGTATATTTGTTTTATATGTGTTAATTTAACTATATTTGTTTTCATACTTACCAAATTGAAGGAAATGAGAGCACCATTTCTTTTATAGATTTATGGAAAGTGTGTATGTAATACGGTTATTTACCTAAGTGTACTATAATGACTATTTAAACTTCCTGTCTTTTGTAAAACGTAATTATCATAATAAATATTTATTACATTATAACGTTTTATGTTGTATTTTGCTTATTTCAAGCAGAATACGTGTTAGACATCGAAAAGCAAATATAGTTGCCTTCTCTATTACTTACTGTCCTCCTTCATTAACAATCGTTTGATGCTTTCTATTGTTATCTGTACATCCTTTTTTATCTATTCTCGGCATCAGTTGGTTTCTAGGTATTTTTAATGAATTTTACCATGTTTTAGTTGGTATCTGGTACTATTATTTAATATGTAAATACACTGTAATAATATTAATGTATGCTTCATTGGTTTAATAGTATCCTTCCATAAAAAGAGACAAAAATGGGAAAACCATTGTATATTTAGAAACATTATAAAAAAAACTTTGCATAAGAATATAAAATACAAAACAGACTATAAAATGAAAAAAAAAAAAAATTATTGAAAAAGAAAGGACCAAAAGATCACGAAAGAATGGCATAGATTTTTTTTTTTTTTTTTTTTTTACCTATTATAATTCATTCACATTTTCCATATTAACGTTTTACTTAAAGTTTATATACAGATGTTACTTTGTTTTTACTACAACTAAATTTTGTGTTTTATTCATTTTACATATTTTTGTCCAAAATTTTTGTATACTACTTACTATGAAATATATTCTAAATTGTTTTATATACATATGTAAATAATATTTCACAATTTCAGCTCAGAATCAAAATCAGCAGAACTTTCAACCAAAGTCAAGGTAATATTAATATTTTTTATCCTTTAATTATACATTATCTGTATTAAAATTTTATCAACCTATTTAAATATTATATTCACTAATTTTGATTCCTTAACATTCCTATCATGCAGTTAAACAAGAGATAACGTTTGATCTAATTGACGTTACTGTTTTATAATGTATATATGTATATATACATATATTTTATATTCCAATTCTGCATATGTATATATTTATTTATATGTTTGTAATAACATTAAATTTGTTTTATAATGCATATATCTCTACATATATTCTAGACTCTAATACTGCATATATATTTTTGTTATTACGTTTGTAATAATATCAAATATTATTTTTGATACAATATTATATCGTTTTCCGGCTCGTTATTTTCTAAATAATAATAATAATCGAATTAGCTCATTGGCATTTAGTCCGTGAAACAAAATACTTATCCTGGTAATTTACGTGGACCGTGACTTAAGAAATATGACGGACGAATTACATTCCTCATATTCGCAGAAAAGAGAACAAAAAGCTTGCGACATTCTTTGACTCCTCCTTAAATTTCTCAACTGCAATTGAACCAAGTGCCATATCGGTTTAGCACGAAAGACGCTTGAAACTCAAAGTTACAAGTACAACACAGAAACCAAGGACGAACCAAGCCTCTAAGCTTAGCTATCCCAGACATACACTTGCTCACGTCTCGCCAACTCGCGCGTGACTTTCACTCTCTCCTCCCCGGCCTTCTCCACTGTCGCCAATGGCCGCTTCTGGATTTTCCACCTCGCCAAACTAACACACAATTCTCAGGTTCCGATACGAAAAAACTTCTCCTCTTTTCTTTTCTTTTTCTCTTTAAAGTACGAGTTTTAATCGTCCAATTCTGGAAGCTAAACGAACTGAGAATATAAGTTTGATTTTTTCTTCTCGCTCATAGAGTGTGATTCTGAATCGTAAGATTGATTGGCACGCAAGTTTTTTTTTTTTTTTGTGTGTGTATATATTATGTATATATTTTCAAATTGCGAAGGTTCTTCCCTGTATGCACATGAATTTTACACTGGACTTTTTTTTTCAGAATTTTTTAGTTTAATTTGAGTAATTAATTAGTTGCCTTTTTCGCGCGTAGTAATTAAATGGGTAGAAGGAAGCAAAGCAGACCTCACCGGTCCGGTGGGATAATTTTGGGTGGTAATGATGCTGCTGAGAATGCGGAATTGGAAAACCAGAGATCGCAGAAGAATGAATTTGAGGAGATTGATCAACCTTATTTCGTGGAAGTTGATCGTTCCGGTTGGATTTCGGACGACCACCTTGATGTTTCCGAGGTTGTTTTGATTGATTTGAAGTTCGGAGAAGGGTTTTCCGGTCGTGAATTGAGTGTGGATTTGTGTGGGGATGATAAGTATTCGTTAAGGTTTAGGTTGTGCAATGTGAGTGAATATGTTGATAGAATCAAGTTAGGTCATTGGCCTGTTTTGCCCTCATCGGATGTGTTTATTGAGTTTGTTGAAAAGCCCGCTATGGAGGGTGTGGATGCGTGCCTGGTGATTTTTTCGGGTGGCTTTGACGGCCCGGATGAGGGTATTTCTGGTCTTGTGCACTTGGCAAGTTTGAAGTTTATGACATTGAGGCCGGTTATGGAGGTTGGACTTTCGACAGATGTGGCACTGCCATCCCTCAGGTTGAGGGTGGAGATTCTTCGGAGCGCCTTTGATGCTTGCGAATCGCTTATGGACAATACTAGGCAGCTGTGGAAGAAGAGTATGATTAATGTCATGTCGTGGTTGCGGCCAGAAGTAATGACGTCGGAGGCTCGATATGAAGTTAGTGTATCAGTAGAAACTGATGTGGCAGATGGTAATGCAGACCAAAAGAAAATTGGAAGGTTTGATGTTGCTGGGTTTTATGAGGCCATTAAACCATCAAAGTGAGTAATCAGGATGTTTTCATTTATGCAACAGTATTGATTATGGTTCATTTAATTCCAGGTTTTTATGTTTTAATTTTCCTTTGGTGTATATTCTGTATAGAACAGATGCAATGCTTGAAGAAGACTTGCCCGATTTGCTTCCTGAGTTGAGGCCATATCAGCGCCGGGCTGCTTACTGGATGGTGCAACGTGAGAAAGAAGGTATACAAAGTATGCCCAGAAGTGGAGAAAGTCAGTTGTCCTCACCATTATGTTTACCTGTGGAATTTCTGGGTACCGATTCAAAAATGTTTTACAACCCATTCAGGTATATATTTATCTTTTTTTTTTTTTAATTTTATTTTATTATTATTATTAGTATTTTTTTTTTTTTTTTGCATGTTGGTTGTAATATATAGCAAGCCCTCTCCTCCTACATACGTCTGATGTGTTTATGTACCATTTTCAGCGGAAATGTGTCCTTGCATCCAGAGCATTCTTCAGCAAACATTTTTGGTGGTATTCTTGCTGGTAATCCCACTACTCTACTTTCTCTGGCATGTCTTCATAATGAAAATGTCTTGGGGTGTTTGTGTTTTTCAATCCATGTTTTGCCTGGATCAGAATTCAGGTTGTAAGAAATTTGTATCTTTTTGTGGTGTTAGCAGCATGACTCTTATAAAGATTGATGGTTTTATGGATCCAGTAAAATGAGAATTTATGATTATGAAGCTGGTAGTCCAAAATAGTCATATTTTATCAAACATATTTTTAATAATTTCTATTTCTGACTATTATAGACGAGATGGGCTTGGGCAAAACTGTTGAACTGCTTGCTTGTATCTTTGCTCATCGCAAGGCAGCATCTGAAGAGAGCCTCTTTCTTGATACTGAAATGCAAACCACCAAGTGTCTTAGAAGATTGAAAAGGGAGCGTGTTGAGTGTGTTTGTGGAGCTGTGAGTGAAAATCGCAGATATAAAGGCCTTTGGGTACAGTGTGACATGTGTGATGCATGGCAACATGCAGACTGTGTTGGTTATTCATCTAAAGGAAAACCTATAAAATCGCGTGAAGTTGTTGACGGACAAGGATCCCAAGGGAGTTCATCAGCTAAGAAGCAAAAGCACAAAAGAAAGAACACAGCCACCATAGTTGAAAGAGATGGACATTTTATTTGTCAGCTGTGTTCAGAACTCATGCAAGCTACTGACACTCCTATAGCGACTGGTGCCACTCTGATAGTCTGTCCAGCTCCTATATTGCCTCAGTGGCATGCTGAAATCCTATAGTATGTTTTCTGATTACACTATCCCATTCATTAAGTTGAGCATTATGGTTCAAAACCAATGTGTTGCTTAATAACATTTTATTTATGGGATAAAACTTTGTATCTAAATGCTCTGTATATCAGCTGCGTAGTTATAATTCTTTCAATATATGATTGATTTATCAATGCCAACTCAATTTAGATGGAATCACATCCTTGGAATGGTTTAAAAATTTTCCTACTTGTATATATTTTTCCTAATGCAAGTCCTACCAAACTGACTCGTTTGTTTGTTATTTGTTACCTTAGCCATACACGTCCGGGATCCTTAAAAACGTGTGTCTATGAAGGAGTGAGGGACACATCTCTTTCAAATGAATCTGTAATTGACATCGGTGAACTCGTCAGTGCTGACATTGTTTTAACTACCTATGATGTACTTAAGGAGGACCTGTCACATGATTCAGACAGGCATGAAGGGGATCGGCGCTTCATGAGATTCCAAAAGAGGTTCTTTCAGAACTTGTGATGTCTTACCTTCATTGGTTCTTGCACAAAATTGGCTTTAAAACTTGAGAAACAGTTTGTAAGGATGTTGCATGATGGAATCGAACAGCATAATGTCAAACATTTTGCCAGAAACAGTAAAATTTAGACTAGAAGATTTTCTGAGTTTTTTAAAAAAATTTCTTTTGCGTTAGATTTATTATAGAAACATTTATTGCCTTGATCTAGAAGCGGGGATAATAAGATGCAATTTGTGTGCGTCTTTTCGGCCATTGAGAACTGCATGTCCTTGATTTATTTATTCCTTTTAGTAATTTGAACTTATTACTAAAATAAATAAACGAATTTAGTAATCTATTTATTTTAATGAACTAATTCCTTTTAGTGATTCGTTTATGCAGAGATTTTGGTTTAGTAAAATATTAATAGATATGAAGTTTTCATGACACAGCTAGCCAATTTCTTTTGCAGGTACCCTGTTATTCCAACTTATTTGACCAGAATATTCTGGTGGAGGGTTTGTTTGGATGAGGCTCAAATGGTGGAGAGCAATGCTACTGCTGCCACGGAAATGGCTTTACGTCTGCATGCCAAGTATCACTGGTGCATAACAGGAACTCCCATACAGTGCAAACTAGATGACCTATATGGCCTTCTTCGATTTCTTAAAGCAAGCCCTTTTGATATTTCTAGATGGTGGACTGAAGTTATGCGGGATCCATATGAGGTAGGAGAATGATGATATCTTCAAGATTCTGATATCTCTATTTTTTGAAAATACTACGAAGAAGCTTATATAAACTACGATTTCAGATTTATTTAAAATTTTGCCCTTGTCTAAGTTATGAGTTTTCGTATAGTTTATAAATAAGTGAAAAGACCTATCTAAAGTAGTTTTTTTGTTTTTTGTTGGAAATTGTTGATACTATTTTGAGCTTTACCGATTATGGAATTGAACTTGTCATCGATTTAAAACCTTACTGTGTTTTTTTCACTAGTGGCCCGTTTGTTTCACGCGTTTAAGTCAGTGATTTTGATTCTGAATTCAAATTTGTGAGAGAACCCATTGGCGGGAACTTTTTTTATTCAAATTTTTTGTGAGAGAAAAGTATTGTAACAAAATCAGAATCATGGTTTCAAATGCGTGAACTAAATGAGCCTTAGGCTTCTTTATAGAATTTGATAAACTGCATTTTATCAAAGTACGAACTCCATTGGATAGTTCTACTCAAAATACACAGTGCAATGCTTAGCCTCCTTTTTTATATTATTATTTCTGTTTTTGTGCTTTCCTGCTATGATGGGCTTTCAGCTGTCCACTCGGGTCCTTGTTGAGCTCCAAGTTTTAAACATTGCGTTAGTCTTTTAAGTTCGTGTTTTAACTTTTGCAGAGGAGAGACGTACGAGCTATGGAGTTTACACATAAGTTCTTCAAACAAATAATGTGGCGTTCATCAAAAGTGCATGTTGCCGACGAGTTACAGCTTCCTGCTCAGGAGGAGTGCACCTCTTGGCTCACTTTCTCACCAGTTGAAGAACACTTTTATCAGAGGCAACATGAGACTTGTGCAAGTTTTGCACGTGAAGTTATTGAGAGTCTGAAAGACGATATCCTCAAAAGAAAAGTCTCAGGTTGTTAAGCTTTGCGGTGGTGTTTTTTAACATCATTCAAGAAGTTTGTTTCCAACAATATGAATAGGGGAGGCAATTTGAGAATTTAAAAATAACTTTCGTGTTTGCTAGGTTGTGCAGTGTCTGATGCTTCATCTGATCCTTTCATTACCCATGCGGAGGCTGGAAAGCTTCTGAACACACTCCTGAAGCTTCGTCAAGCTTGCTGCCATCCTCAAGTAGGAAGCTCTGGGCTGCGATCTTTGCAACAGTCCCCAATGACTATGGAGGAAATATTAATGGTAGTTTACATATTTTGAAGCATTTTTATTTCATTTCTCAACATCTCAAGCTAGTTTATGTGTGTGTATATATATTAAGGGTTCATGTTTTCTAGGTTCTTATAAGTAAGACCAAAATAGAAGGAGAGGAAGCTCTTAGGAGGTTAGTTCTTGCCTTGAATGGGCTTGCGGGGATAGCTATAATTGAGGAAAACTCTACTGAAGCCATATCACTATACAAGGAAGCATTGGCTTTAGCTGAAGAGCACTCAGATGATTTTCGCTTGGACCCTTTGTTGAATATTCACATCCTATATAATCTTGCTGAAATACTCCCACTGGGAGCAAACTGCTTGGGAAAATGCCCCTTAAATGGACTGTTGTTACCTGGAAATCCTGGCACGGAGTTGTCCAAGAGACATGGCATTGGAAAGTCTGAACCACGTGTTTTCAAGAGGCGGAAAGTGAGTGGAAAAGGCAACTTTGCCACTGATGCTGGGAATCCACATGATAATAATACCTCCGAAATTAAAGAGAACATTCTAAATGCTAACCAAGAATGCAGTGATGTGCCCCTGACATCATGCAGTTCTTGTGGAGATGAATCTTTGAGAACAGCCTGTGAGAATTTTAAACAGAAGTTCTTATCTGCATTTAGTTCAAAGCTTTTCGTTGCTCAAGAAGATTTTAGAAAATCATATATGCAGGTATATAAACCCATCATCCCATAATATGGACTTGAGAACAGTATGTTGCACTGCGTCTTATAATTAATGTATTGAAAGCACTCATTTTATCTTGGAGTTTATGCATGCAAATCTGCTTTTCTGCCATATATTGTGTGTGTGTGTGTGTGTGTGTGTGGGTGGGTGTACTTGTTTTTCCCACTTCTTCTTTCGGCTTTAAAGCGGGCAGTTATTATGAAAAAAAAAAATCATTTATGTATCTCTTTTTTCTGATAACTTCTCTTTGGTATGTGTCAAGGTTTGTTCTGCAATTAGTGAAAGAAAAAATCAACATACGGCTTGGTGGATGGAAGCCCTTCTTAATGCTGAGGAGAATAAAGATTGCTCAAGTGAGTTAATCAGAAAGATTGAAGAAGCCATAGCAGGAAATCTAAATACTTCAAGGTCATCGAGGATTCCCACTGGGTAAGTGACAATTGCATGAATAAATGCTTAGAATATTTTCTACTGAGTAGGGTATTATAGTTCTTTCCGAATAGGCTCTTTATTCTAATTATTGTGCTCTGAAAGCTCCAGGTTATGGAGCATGAGTGTCACTGCTGGAAATTTTCGTACAAATTACAATTTTGAAACTAAAAGTTCTCTGTTTCTGGAGCATGAATAAAACTTCTGCCTAGAAATTTTTATGGAAGACAACTATTAAATATACTTTTAATACACGGCGCGGACAATGATTAACGTTTAATTATTTTGATCTAGTTTCCGATCCATAAGTGGTCTAAAGTATCATATCCAGAGTGGTTTGGACCTACTGGAAGCCTCTAGGACTGTCTTACTTGATCAACTTTTGGAAATTGATCAGACAATAGAGAAGCCAAGGGAGGAGGATATTGAACGTGTGCGATATTGTCAAAACTGTCAAGTCAATGGTGATGGTCCTTCATGTGTTATGTGTGAACTTGACGAATTGTTTAAGGTTTGCTACAAATTATCTCTTACCTTTGATTCTTTTTACACATTCAGTTTATTCATCTATTCTTTTGATACGATATTCACAATTTGGTTCTTCGCCAGCATTATGAAGCAAGACTTTTTCGTCTCAATAAAGCACAAGGGGGGATGATTACATCTGCTGAAGAGGCTCTGGATTTGCAGAAGAAAAACTCTGCACTTAATCGTTTCTATTGGAACTTATCACAGTCAAATAAAACATCAAAATCATCTGCCAATGGATATGAAGAATCTAAAAAAAGAGATGTTCAAGAAAAAGTGGTGGTCGGTTACCTGTCAAAAACTACTTTTTGTGCATGTTTAATATGCTAAAACCGGTATCAGTGAACTCACCTCTTCTGCCCTATTGCTTTTGGATTTTTAGGTTTCAAAATCTCCATCTGAATTGGAGGTTGTTCTCGGTGTTATAAAGAGCCATTGCAAGGCTCACTTAGGAAGAGAGGGTTTATCAGCTGCAACCAAGCATCTGCAGATTCTTGAGGTATGGCATTACTGATTCCATTTTGTTAGTAGGAACTACTTAGTTGTGACAAAGATTTCTATTAAGTTGAATGATTTGAAAAACTAGAACCTGGGGATCTTTAAACGTATCTTCACTTTGTTGGAATGCTATCTATCTGTTAAGATATTTCAGGAGCTTTAAGCTATGTATTTCACACAATGATCTTTCTCTAATCCTTTTTCTTATTCTTTTACTTTTCTAAGGGCATGAGAAAGGAGTATGCTAATGCAAGGGCTTTGGCAATAGCTCAAGCTCAAGTTCTGCAAGCTCATGATGAGATAAAGATGGCAACCACACGGCTGCAATTACAAGTTCATGAGGATGACAAATCTTTGAACGCTTTAACTAAAGACGAATTACCTTCAGCTAGCGTACAGTACTCTAGTGATAAGTTTGTGGCGTTAAACTTGTTGGCATGTATTAAAGGAAAACTTCGCTATTTAAAGGTACAAAAGCCGAGTTCCATACTTTGCAGCTTAGTGCACCTGGTTTGATATACTGCATGCTTAGGGATTTCTTGCTGGAATATGCTGCTTTAATATACTGATTGTCTGATAGTCTTTAGGTGTTCACAAAATTTCCTTCTTTTCTTCTGCACTAATGTTAACCCACTTTGAGTTATTTCCAGGGTTTGGTGCAAGCTAAACAGAAATTGCCTTTGGAAAGTCCAAACAGCTCCTCAGTGACTGAAGAAGAAGCGGCAGCTGCTGCTACATCAGAAAACGCCGAAAAAAAAAGTGAATGCATACCTAAATCTGATGATGAGTCATGCCCAGTTTGTCAAGAAACGTTGAGCACTAAAAAGATGGTTTTTCAATGTGGCCATGTTACGTGCTGTAAATGTAAGTTCTCATAACCTATTTTACAATACAAAATTTGGATATTGATTCTACAAGACCAAGAGTGAATACCTGGAGTGTAGCTCCTTTTTTTCGTTTGAAAATCAACTTTTTTGTAGAGGTGAAAATCTTCAATTTGCCTATGATTGTTTTGATATTTCGTGAAGAAATTGAAAATAGATGTTTTCAGTGAAGAGCAATTTTCTTGGTATAGACTATAGAAAAATAAGCAAGAAACAAGTTTAATTCCATATATGGAAAACGTACGAAGTTGAGTTAAAAGATGGAGCTTCTATTTTCAGTTCTGTGGATCCACTAGACATTGTAAACTCATGTGAGTTCTTATTTCGTTCTTCTAGGTTTATTTGGAATGACTGAACGGAGAATACTTCAGGATAACAAGATTCAGAATAAGTGGGTAAAGTGCCCTACATGTCGACAGCATACTGATGTTGGGAATATTGCCTATGTTGATGATAGACAAAATGAAAATTGTGATTCTTCTCTCCTGCATACAACTGATGGTCCTGAAAATTTGGGATCGTCTATTGTAGTTCAGGGTTCGTACGGCACTAAGGTATATATCTTAAGTGCCAATCTTATGAAAGTGCATTTACACAATTCTGCCTGCTATTTATTTATGAATACATCTCTTCTTCTTCATTTTTTCCGTACTGTCTCTAGGATTTTGAGTACAACATTTTTGCACTATAGTCAAGTGCAGATCATTTAATTTCTTTCTTCTGTTTTTTTTCCCCCTGCCACAAGAATGTTACTCGTGATTTTCAACACCTCTCGTAGCAAGTTTATAATGTTTTACTCTCTGTGGGCTGTTTTGAAGATCGAAGCGGTGACTAGAAGAATATTGTGGATCAAGTCCAAAGACCCCAAATCGAAAGTTCTCGTTTTCTCAAGTTGGAATGATGTCCTTGATGTATTGGAACATGCCTTTAGTGCTAATGATATATCCTTTATTCGAATGAAGGGAGGCAGGTAAGATTTTTTTTTCCAAGCATCTCAAATTCTATGCTCTTCATCCGTAAATTAAAAAATAAAATAAAATAATGCTATATATGCTTGATATGGTAGTTGGCCAAACACTTAAATAGATTTCTAATGCAATTATGACTTTGAACGTGCAGGAAATCACATGTGGCCATCAGTGCATTTAGAGGACAGAAGAGCAGCACAAAAGTAAAACACAAGAAACGTGGGAAGCTAGCAGAAGAAGAATCTGTTCAAGTGTTGTTGCTCCTAATTCAGCATGGAGCAAATGGTCTCAATCTTTTAGAAGCACAGCATGTTGTCCTTGTAGAGCCCCTACTCAACCCAGCAGCAGAGGCACAAGCAATCAGCCGGGTCCACCGAATTGGGCAGCAAAATAGGACATTGGTTCATCGTTTCATCGTAAGTGCACCACCCCCATATTTGTATCAAAACTAAGCATGGTTAGGAAGAATCCACAGCACCTGTTCACATAAAACATGATGTTGATGAATGGATACAAAACTGAATGTTTCACTTTCCCATCCATATAACTTCTCTGTACCTTTCTTTTTCCATGCTCAATGACTGCAAACAGTTGATAAGCCGAATTATCAGGAACGAATTTAAATAGTAGACATGGTCTACCGTTCTAGTTTTTTTTTTTTTTTTTTTTTTTTTTTTTCAAGTATGGGCTTGATGAAGATGTTGTGCGTACATTCTCTTTTACACAATATACATGCTTGACCTGTTGACTTTTTTTTTTTTTTTTCCCCTCGGTGTTAGGTGAAAGACACGGTTGAAGAGAGCATATATAAACTCAACAGAAGCAGGAACACCACTGCATTCATTAGCGGGAACACGAAGAATCAAGATCAGCCCTTTTTTACACTCAAAGACGTTGAATCCCTATTTGCAACAGCGCCACCCGCTGTACCGGAAACTGATGACAAACAGGCCGAAAGTCTGAGACATTTGCCGCCTTCTGTGGCGGCAGCTATAGCAGCTGAGAGAAGACTCAACGACCTGACATCCACTTTGTCATAACGCGGTGAAGAAATCTTCTGACACTCTTAGGCGTCAGTTATTAGTTGTTCCTAAAAGATGACGAGCATATTGTTCTTTTCTATCTTTGTAGGTTCTCTAACCATTTTTTGCTATTTTCTTATAAGTTACAATCCATTTCATGCCTGTAAATATCATTCTTGTCCTTTTTCTTTTTTCACAAACTCTATATCGATCCAAAAATTCCAAGCAACCAAAAAAAAAAAAAAAAAAAAAAAAAAAAAAAAAAAAACCTACAATTAGAGACCAATTCAGAATAGAAACTGATCGGAATCAATATGAATATTTTCCTTTCACTTCTGCATGTCTCTCCCACCTGGCACTCGAAAGTTACAGTATTTGTAATAGAGAAATTTATCCATGATATTAATGTTACTGTATTTCAGCAGTTTCTACATTATTAATGATTATCTGAATCCCCCACTAATTCTGTAATGTAACCAATAACTTGTGGAGAATGATATGGTACGAAAAATAACTCTGCGTATAATTGTATTTTAAATCGTAGAGTTTGTTAGTTGTGTATATTTTTTTCGATTTTTGATCAGAATTTGAATAAATTACCATCGGTAGTATTGTTTGTACCATATAAAGCTCTCAACTTTATTTGAAGTGTTTTCTTTTTCAAGTTTTTATACTGAGCAAAAAGTTCATTCCTTTTAAGGAATCGGAATTCCATCAAAACATAGTTTAATACGCAAAGAAGAATGGGAATTGGACCAATTCAGCACTGAAAATTCTTCATGAATCTGACAATGAAAACGAATCTACCAGAAGAGCTCCATTTCCATCCTCATCTTCCCGACTGGCCAAACTTCGACTTGACAAGTTGAATTAGATGCTGCTCAAAACGTAATCCAATCAGATGGACCCCACTTTTTTGCCCACAAGAGGATTCTAAAGTCAGCATTGTCGTTTTGATAACTGCCACCACCAGTCAACCCCTCTCTTTCTCTCTATCTCTCTCTCTCTCTATATATATATATATATATATATCTCTCTCTCTCTCTCTTCTCAAGCATATCTTTTCCTTTTTTTTTTCTTTTTTTTTTTCCTCTCCTTTTTCTATATTTGTTAGCTGGAAAATTCCTTGGACAACTAACAACCTAGACAAAAAGCAAATCAAATCAAATCTAAGCCTCACGTGACGTGTCCCTCACGTCTCGAAGCGCGTGCCATCTCGTCTCCAAAAGACCAAAGGCCGTAATATCCACAGACTCACACGTGTCCTTCTCCAGGCACGTGAGATGCTGCTAGATCACATCATAACGCCAAGTGTTCATAGATCTCATCCTCAAAGCCTATATATATATATATATATATATATCTCTCAAACGTTTCAATTCTTATGAACAATTACAAATTCTCTAGTCTTATCATCAATGGCTATGGAAGGCTCTCTTTGTCAAAGCCTATGCTCATCTCGCCCTTCTCCAATTCCGTGCCAAACTCTTCTTCCCCACCGCCGGGATTCAACGCTTCCGATGCGGTGGAGTGAGAGAACCGTCGCAAACCGCCGCAGAATGGCGGTTGGATGCGCGAATTTGGGATCGGCACCGGCGGCGAGGGCGGAGAGGGAGCTCGAGGGCGCGGTGAGCGCCGAGGAGGTGGCGGACTGGATGAAGGCGGCGAGGTTGAGTGAGAAGTGCGGCGAAGGGCGAGGAATGGTGGAGATTCTCGAGTGCTTGGAGCGGGAGGCGATCATGGGGGAGGACCAAGGGAGAGAGGCTAGCGACTACAACCGCAGGGCTCAGATCTTCGACAGGAGTTCTAGAGTTTTCCAGGCTCTCAAGGAAAGTACTAGTGCTGCTGCTACTACTTCTGATCACCATGAATCTTGACCTGGCAATGACAACCGTAGTTGTGTTGTATATGAATGTGAATTCTGTTTCTAATAAGCGTTTTGTGGAAGTCATGAAAAGTAGTGACTTTTGATAGCCTGATAGTCATTTTCATGTTTCAATCATTGAATACAAAGCAAAGAGAGTGAGATCCTGTGATAAGAATTTTTCCAGTTCACGTTTTCATGCAGTTCACACCCCCTTTTTTTCTTCCATAAAAAAGAAAGGCCCGTTTCATTCTTTAAATTAAACATATGGGATAGAACCTAAAACCTCCACTCGGACCCTCCCAAGAACAAATATATATATACGCGCGCGCACACATATATATATAAGATGATAAATACATATATACACAAATAGAAGATGAAAATACGACAGAAAATTACATGACATAGATGACTGAGACCAAAGAGAGTTTTCTAACCGTTAAAAGATGTGGAACATGAGCATCATACCTGCAAAACTCACGGTACGGAGAGAGAGAGAGAGAGAGAGAGAGAGAGGCACTGAACTTGTAAATAGCATTCACACATAAATTGGGGACAAAGTTACTATGAGGTTCCATTAAAAGAAAATACTCTGAATAAATTGATCCCAAGAAAAACATGGTAGAAAAAAAATTCTACGTGACAGACCATCACACCGGTACATAACAACTAAACTGGCATCTCTACTACCTCTTTTATCTCGTGAGATAAAACAATTGGCAACAATGGCCAAAAATACCCTAAAGGACTAACAGAACTTCCACCGATTATTGCAGTTTACACATGTTACATATGTTGTCATGGGTTCATCGGCACTCCGCGTCTGCATTTGGTAGTAGGTGGTCTTGCGCTTCCCACACCGGCCGCACTTGAATTGGTCAGTCGTGGCTTCTTTTGGACCTCCACGCTGACACTCAAAAAGCGCTTTTTCTTCAAGCTTTTTGTTCTCTTGCTGCCTCTCATTGCTTGCCATTTCCGCTGTGCTCATGTTCACAAGCCGCTCTGCTTCAACATGTCCAAGCAGAACTTTTCTGCGGAAATCTGGGTTCTTTGTGTCCTTAAGATTGAACATCAAGGACCTGTACTTTGCCTTCTGCGACCCGGCAGAACTGCCCCAGTTCTCAAACAGCACTGATTCCACTGTTACGGCAACTCGAATAGGATCACAGGCATTAACTTCGTCCGCCATCTCTTCATCAGCCTCACCAGAAACCTTGGACAAAGCCTCATGAAGCATTTCCCGTACTCTGTCTCGCACAGCATCATTGGACCTGACCATAGATGTCAGCTTCGGAGTTGCAGAAGCACCTGATGTCGGCCTCTTTACTTCTTTGGTTATCTTTTCAACCTTAACATTCTTCGCTGGAGAAGGTTTCTCGTTAGGAACCTTTCTCTCTGCTGCATTGCGTTCAAATTTCTCGACCTTAACAGCCTCGGCCTTGGATTTCTCAACCTTCCCATTGAATGTCTTCTGAATCTTCTCTGGCCTGGGACTCTCGGTTCTTGGAGGCTCAACTTTGACAGAAGCTTTATTCTCCAATTTTCCGTTTTTAATATCTTTGCTTGTCTCCTTGATAACAATGTCTTTCCATATCTCAATCAGGCTAGACGCAAAAGACTGTATCTTCTTTCTAGGATGTTTTGTGAGAGGTCGGAGACGCTTACCGACCTGAAAGACCACATGTCAAAAATCAAAACAAACATCAATTCCTATAGTTAAACCAAAGAGACTGCTGCCCCCAAAATCAAAATGCAACCACAAAAACGCAACATAAGTATCTATTGAAGGTTCAATTTTTGATCCAATTTGGTCGGTACTTATAAAACACTATCCAAGTATATTAACGAATTCCTAAAAAACAACCATTTACCCCACCTACAATGGGAAATAAAAATGCCCAAACAACGACCACTTGCCCAATCTACAATGGGTAAACGAATTCATCAGGTGATAAGAACAGCCTGTTCCCTGTTTTATGATATAATAAAGCGTTTATAGCGAATGTGTTTTAGCCCTAACTTCTCCAGGAGAAAAAAATGCCTCCTTTTTTCCCTACCAGTGAAAAAGCTGTCATCTTTATCATATAGCTCAAAATGCGTCTACGAATTGCTTAAGAAAGAAGAAGTAAAATATCTGAAACAATCTTTACCCAGAAGTGAAAATAGGAAAACAAAAAATAAACAAAATAAGAAATCATCAAACTCCCCCACCAAACACTAAGCCAACCAATTTTTTCAAATCTTAATTTTACAAAAATGTTTCAGATCTCGATTCAAACACAGATTAAATGTTTCTAAAAACCATATAAATTGGGAGAAAAACAATAAAGAATTTTAGGGGCAAATTGAAAACCTGGGTGGAGACAAGGAGTTGATAAGTGACAGGAAAGCTCTTGAGCTGCCCTAACGCATCAAGACAGTGGCTTTCGTCGGCGGCTCCTTCGGCCGTCGCCGCCGCGTCAGCGGCTTTCTTCGCCGTCTCGAACAGCTCCACCAGCTCTCTCTCCATTCTATCTCCTCCCTCCTTTGATGAACCCCAAATATCACTCCAGATTTCCAAATCTCAACAACCAAAACAATCTATTACCAAACAGTACAAACACACAAACATCAAATCAAAACAAATTCCTCGATTCAACAACAAAAATCGCTGTTCGACAAAATACGACGTTATCGATATATTCAAGGCTTCAAATTTTTCACAAAAAAAATGGAAAATTGAAAGCAGAAAACTTACAGAGATCGGAGGAAGGTCCTCCTCCTATTCTGGCGGTGAAATTGATGAATGAAAATACGAACAGAAAAAGAAAAAGAAAAAAGAGAAAGCATCGAGGTCGCCGTGTGTATATATTTGACAAGGAAGAGAGAGAGTCGTGTGATCGGACGGCTATTATGCGGTGCACGTGTGAAGACGGATGGAGGAGATTGGAGATAAGAGATGAGTTCGAGAGGGCTTACCTTTTGCCTTGGCGTTGGGAACTGGTCTTAGGGTTTGTTACTCTTTTACTTTTCTTTTCTGCGACGTAAAATTTGGCGCGTGGAGTTAAAACTCCCATACAGTCTGATTTTATACATTTCTCACTTGTTGTGTAATTTAGGTCCGTTTGGAAATATTTTTAAAATGGTTTTTTTAATGAAAATGAAAATAAAAATATTTTGAGAATTGTGTAGAGTACAGTTTTTTTGAAATTGCATTTAATTATTTTATTTAGAGATTATTTTGAATATAAAAAAAAATTATGTTTAGTTATATATTTTTAAAAATATATTTTGAGTATTGTTAATAGTGAAAATTCGTCAACAGAATAATAATAAATTTTTAAATGTTTTGTTCGAATTAAATGATTTTAAACGCAATTAAAAGCAGAATTTAAATAAGAATATACAGAATTTATAGTGGTTCACTCTGAATAGTGAAAATTCGTCAACAGAATAATAATAAATTTTTAAATGTTTTGTCCGAATTAAATGATTTTAAACGCAATTAAAAGCAGAATTTAAATAAGAATATACAGAATTTATAGTGGTTCACTCTCAGTTCGAGAGCTACGTCCATTGTGGAGAGGAGAGAAATTTCACTAATTTTAGGGAGAATACACGCACTAATTGCTAAAAGTGAGACTTGGGATCTTCTGACTTATACTTCCTTATTTATAGCTTAGGTCACCACCCATAAACATTCCTTATTTGAATTTGGGTTACTTCCTTTATTTTTTAGGATAGTTTCCCAAAAGATAGAGATTACAATTAATCGTGACAATTTTCCTATTTAAATTTCAAATATTTGAATTATAAATAGCAAATCTTAGAGCAAATCTCGCGGATTTTATCTTCTTGTGTGGCTTCGACTTCGTAAACACTCCCAGAAGCCTTTTCGCCCACGATTGCGGGTACGGTCGACCTCATACTTGTTCTTTGTGGCTTTTTAGAATGGTCGACCTCTTACTAATAACAGGTACGTCCTTTTAACAGCCGACTCCTAAAAAAGCTATCTACTGACGTGACTCTTAGGGCTGAGTTGTCCTTAACTATTTAATGCTCTTCTTTATGGCCTACGGGTCCTATTCAAAGTCTAAATTTAGAGTTCGGCGTTTTACCTTACAATAAGTACATAAATTAATAATCTTTAACAAATACATTAAGTAATAAATAATTGATAATGACTTAATAAAGATTTTATATATAATAAAATAATATATTAAATATTTAATAATCAGTATATTAGTTCATAATTAATATATTACTACTTTACTAGTATACTAATAATCAGTATGTTAATTCATAATTAATATATTACTAAATAAATAAAAACTTGAGATTGCATCCTTCTCCTTCAAGGATTCGACCTAATGGTTTGATTGAGAGGGAGAGAAAACCCACGACCTGCAGCAAAGAGAAAAAAAATCAGTTGGATTTGCAAGCTTTGTTGGTGGCTGGGTTCACGAAAGAGTAGCTGTGTGTGCGAGGCTGGGTTGTAGAGTCGTCTGGGATTGTTGGTTCGTGGATGAGAAGTTAGGTTCGCGAGATTTGCTAGCGGCTGGGGTTCACGAACTTCGTCGGCGGTGTCTCTTGGGTTCACGACAGGGGCAGAGACCAAAGAGAAATATTGAAAGAAAGACAACTATAAACCCAAAGCGATAATCATAAAAAAAATTGCAACAAAAATGGAAAACGAAAACGAAAAGAGGAAAACGGTCTTGTATCATTTTCAAGTGGTGCAAGTTTGGGCGGCGGGCATGCCCGGTGCTCAAAAAATTTTGGGCACGGCGGGCAGGTGCCATTCACCGCCCGTCCGAAGTATTTTGTCGGGCACGGGCTTGGGCAGCCCGAAAAAATTCATTCCCTAGTGATTAACGCCTAAAAGTTATATTCACAAGTGGTCAATTGTAGCACAGAAGGGTGGTCGTATCCACAGAGAGATAACAAAATAACAAGAATGATTAACAGAATAAGAACGTTAGAGAAAAGTGAATTAAAGAAAAATGAGAGTTTTTGAGATTTTTGTTGCAAATAAAATAAAAAAGGAGAAAATCTGTATGAAGAAAACGGTAAGGTGTCGAGAATCCCTAATGCTTCGTTCACCAATTCAAGTTTTGATTCACAAAATAAAATAATTGAATAAATTAAATCTCTATGTTGGCTCAGAAAATATTATTATTACAAGTTATCTAAAATCGACAATATATCAATCTGACAATATTGCAGTAAGAGACAATTTGTAAAATAATTTGAATAACAAAACATTGCGTGACATAATTACATAAGAAAAGCGTGACTGAACTTATATAAAAATTAGCACACAATATTTTGAAAAGTAATAGAAAAATAGATGAGATTTAATTTATTCAGATGTTGGAGTTTACAGAATAAGGAATTAAAATCCCGAATATATTCAAAGCTTCCTAAAACCTTAGGGTAACCCCTCTATTTATAGTGTTTAGAGGTTGCCTGTCAAATAAGGAAATAAATTGTAAAACTAGAAAATTACAAAAGAAAAGGAAACAAAATAAAATTACACATAAATTAGGAGAAATCACATATTTAATTTGGGGAAGAAATCTGATAATTTGCTCTGATTTTTGGGGAAGTTCGGATTCAGCCTTCATCTGGACACGTGTCGAAGCTTGATTGGAGGAAAGGAATAAGGCCACCACGTGTCGCGCGCGGTGTGAAGGAAGGGAGCTGGCCGTTGGAGACAGCTGGGACCCGCTCGGACAGCTGGCACCCGCTCGGACAGCTGGCACACGCAGAGGGAAGGAGCAGGCTGGCATCGCAGGTGTGGGACCCACGCGGAGTTCGGGTTGGAACGCGCTGGAGATCTCGCGTGCACGGGACGCGCACTGTGAAGTGGGGCGTGCTGGTGACGCGCGAGGCACGAGATGGCAGAAAGAAATGGCGTGGATTTTTACGCTGACTTAGTGGGTTGGCTCGGTGGCTTAAACGGCTCACGGGCTGACGCGGCTCAATGGGCTTAAACGGCTGAGAATATGGCTTTCATGACTTTTTCTTTTGTGGCTTTTTACACTGCTTTTATCTGTAACTAATTAAGCAAAAACTAGACAA